ATCATCCTTGAAGCATTACGAGCCGGAGAAACCTGCGCCGTCGTCCGCTCCCGGTCGCCGGTTTTACTTATTACCAGAGCGAATGAGGTCCAAGCTCCCCCCAAGCTCTTGGAGAAGTGAGATGTTACAGAGCTTGAAAGAGAGCTCCGTTCGTCCTTGTCGTTGACTCGATGGCTGCTGACAAGGGCATGTATCAACCCCTCGAGGATAGGAATGAGGATGGAAAATCATTGCACTGTGCCCTTCTCACGTTGGTTCCATCAATTACTCTGTACAGCACCTCGTTAAACGAACCAAGGCGGAAGAAAGGCAATAGCAAACAAACAAAAGGACCCAGTTCCCGACGAGTATGAATTTCCGAGACACTTCCCCCCAGCTCTGAGCGAGCCTGAGCGACAATGTGAAAGTCCTACGTCACATATCTGGCAAAGCTGTTTGTTTGCCCAGCCACTTGGACAGAAGTCAACTGGCGTCCCCAAGCTCTCTTCCTCCCTCACTCTCTCCTCAAGCCTGCGGCCGTCCCCCCGCCTTTCGCGTTTCTTTACAGTTCCTTCTCCTCTCGTTCCTTGGTACTATGACGGGAGAGGTAAAACCCAAATCCGAGAAGCTAACAGCCGTCGATGCTTTCCGGGTACATCGCAGATAAACTCGGCTAGCTCTCTCTTGATTGGACGCACGTCTGTTGCGCGTCTTGGTCGCCCTGATCGGACCTGATCTGGTGGTTCGCAAGCAGCCAAAAGCTTTTTGCCTCGCAGCGTAATATGGCATTGCATGGCAAGGTAGCTTACCTCCGGGTAGCTTGTCCACACCATAGCTGGGCCACCCAATCCATCCTTCGATGACAAGCTCGTGGGACTGTACTTCTGGGCGTCGCATTGTTTCCTTGCATTCCCATGTATTCATACACGAGTCTCGTTAGTGATGTCCGTACATAGTGTCATGGAGTGTATCCAGTGATGTTGGGATGACTGTGACAGCCGCAATTGGCTGGATTGGGAGCTCTCACAAGCTCTCGGGCTGTCTATCGCTCCATTGTCACTGTAGCTGTTGCTGTCGCCCTCCAGCTCCAGCTCCAGCTCCTCTCCTCTCGCTCTTGTGTAGTGCGCACGCGTAGCCTCTCCCACCCTTTGCCGTTCCCACTCCCCCTGGATCCCTTTCTCTCTCCTCTCTTCTATTCTTGCTCTACCTAGCTTCTCTATCTCGTGCTGTGCCTTGTCTACCTTTAAAACCCTCCTCTACCCCCCGAGAGAAGCGCCCTGATCTCCTGAACTTGTCAATCGCATTGTAGAGACTCCCATACATCACACGGACCAGTAACTATCACCATGTCCCGTAAGAGAAAGCAAGACGAGGAGGAGGAGCTCGTCTCCCTCCCTGAAGACGATGATGGTGAGGAGGAGGAAGAGTGAGTACCATTTGCCTTCCTTTTGCATGTTACCTTGTTGCGGTCGTCTTTTTGATGAGTTTTCGATTGTCCAATCGCGCGCATTTTATCGTTGCGCTATTCGTTGCGCGACCTACCAAGATGCGCGCGCAGGGCTGATGTCGCATGCCACCACAAGATGCGATCCCATGCGATGCCAATTATCTCGCGATTGAGTCTATTCCCACGTCTCATTTGCGAGATTCTTCGATCGCATTGTGATTATCCTTGCATTTGGTATTGTTTCCTGTTGTGCGATTTCGCGATCGAAGCATGTTGTCGATGATTGTATTTTGGTGATGACGATTGGCTGACAACATGTGAATAGGTACGTCTCCACCGCAGACGAAGAAGAGCAAAGCGAAGAAGACGAGGACGCTGAGGAGGAGGAGGAAGATGAAGAAGATGACGAAGCTGATGCAAAGGGTAAGTGATTTTCGATATTTTGGAAGAGCTCGCCACCAAAACATACATCCACCCCTCCCATCGATAATGTCCCATTATCAGTTACATGGTCTCTTCCAAGAGCCTAGCAACCCGCCTGTGATACCGAGCCAAAATGCTGACCATATCATTTCAGCCGAGCCTCCTGTGAAGAAGCGCAAGACAGCCGAGGCAGACACCAAAGAAACCAATGGCGATGCCGAGGAGGAGGAGGAAGAAGATGAGGAAGAAGGCGACGATGATGCTGAAGCTGAAGGCGACGAGGAGGACGCTGAGGGCGATGAAGACACTGCTGATGTCTCCGCCCCAGCCAAGGACGGTGTCAAAACTGCTGAGGCGCCTGCTGCTGCTACTGAGACCCCAGAGCCCAAGGCGGTTACAGCTGGTGGTGACGAGTAATACCTACGAGGCGACTCGTGTATCGTATAACAATCCGTTCCTTTTTACTCCATATAACTTTCAACACATTGAATTATTTCTGGATATTGTTGCTTGGGAGTGTCACTATCTTTGAGTTGTGCCATAGTTGAGTGTAGCTTGGTTGATCTGGGTGACGATGGTGTTTGTGAAGTCACTTATTCGTGATACCGCCCTTCTCCTTGTGTACCTCTCCTTCATCATCCCCTTTACTAGCAAGTCAGTATCATATTCATGATCATGCACCCGAGCACACACAGATCTGGCCAAGGCAGATCAGATCTTGATCTTAATCTTGATCTACCTACGCACGCAAGCAGTGTCCACTTACCGATCTACCCATTTAGATAAGGTTTTTTTCTTGGAAATAAACATCGAGACGTTCTCTTTTTCCCCGGGGGGGATGTCATGAAAAAAAGACGCAAAACCCCTGCCATGGTGTTATAATTGGTTCAGGAGGCATGGGGGACTCCGCAACGGGTAGGGCTGAGGGAAGGTTGAGGGTTTGGCTGACGGTCATGATGTTTATTCTTGGGGTTGATAGGGGGTGTTGTCGTAGGAGACGTATATTTTCTTGGGTGTTTATGGGCTTGTGAAGCCTTGTGAAAAGAGAAGATTGAGCAGAGACACCTAGGATATGTGACTTGAGAGGGAGAATGGAAGTGTATGAAACGAACATAGTTACGAACTAGTTATTTGAAAAAGATCATATCTTGTCAATGGCTACTGGCCAGTTGTCGAGGGTACAGCACAAGACTCGGGAGTTGAACTGTCAATGTCAAGACGTTGATCTTAGCTGACGAGTGCCAACACCACCAAAGAATGGGGGCCACGTTTGTGCATCCTTTACCCCAGATTGTTTTAGTTTCCAAGAACCGAGTATGTACCTAGACCTCCCTGATATTGGATGTTAAAATAAACTCAGCAAAAGGTATCCTTGAGTTATGCTCAGTTACCCAAGTCTTTATGTCGTTCCGGATTAAGGTCACTGAGTTTTCTTTCCTCCCCTAGCAAGAGTAGAGTACCGTAAGATCATCAATGAATACAGCAAGATTAGCCGTTGCAGGGTGGTCTGATAGCCAATGTCCATACCACGCGGCATGCGGCAGACCTGACAAGGCCAAGCCTGAAGAGCAGGATCTCGCTTCTTCACCTTGAAGTCAGGCAGATCATGATAACCTCGGTCCATTGGCTCTGCAAAACAAAAATACAACAGTAAAAGTCTGAATTACCTCTGAATGATGGCATGAATACTACACGGTGACTCAACAACCGGATCTCATTACCCAAGAGACAGTGGATTCTATTCGATTCGACTCGACTCGACTCAACTCGACTGGACTCGGGGCTTCGGAATTTGTCAGAGTCTGAGGCCGGCTCGTGACCACTTGCTTCAAAACTTCACAGGGCGCAAAGCAAAACCAAACATGGCCTTTGCGAACGAGGCTATTCCCCACGACTTGTTCCAAGGCAAACGAGATTGAGGTTAGTCAACGATACCCCATCCTACAGGGATCAGCCCCGCCTGTAGCGTCTGGGGATAAACTCAGGCCAGCCCAAGGTTTTTTTTTATCCTGTCATGTTCCTAGTTTATCGCGACGACATGACTTTTGACGATACGCTTGATTATATTCTTCTGACTCGGTGAGGCTCAAGGTACAAGAGCATTGTCTCTCTTGTTGTTCACAACAGACACACGATAGCCCTGTGACGAAACTCGTCCAGAAACGCTCTTACGTGGCTATTAGGTAGCCAAGGGCCCGGATTTACTAACAGAATGCCCATCCTTGACAGGTGCCAAGACCATGTCGTGTAGACCATTGGCCTTTGCGGAATACTCTTGACTCAGGCGTGTAAGTTATCAATCTTTGCATTGGTTGGTTACCCATTGCATCTTTCCCCTTCCAAGCTTCCACGCCCATGCTTTAAGCGAAGGATAACAAGCACCTGAACTTGTGATGCATCACATTGGCCCGTCCCTCCCTCACCCTCTTACTCCGGTCACGGCTCGCCAGGTCCGAGGCCATCTGTCTGTGTCCTGGCTGTGCTAGGTACAGTAGACTATGTGACATATTGTGGCATTATTCCGTGCCTCTTGTCTCCGTGTCGTAATGCCATGCCCCCTTGGCCCATCCTCCGCTTCCTTTCATACTTTGGCACCACCCTCGATGGATTAGTTGGTGGTAGTTATGCATGGTGGTATTTTTTACTCTTTTTGCGAACGAGCCTTGGGTCTTGGCACTCTTTTCGAGTTTTTTGTGCCCTAGACGTCTGTTATAAAAGGGGACCTGCTCAGCCCGAGTTTGTAGTTGTGAATCTTTATCCTTCTCTGTATACCCACGGTCCTCCCGTCTGCTGCTCTCTCCCCCCATCACACAGAAAAAAGCCAGACGAGAGAAACGGAAGAAATCGCAAGGAACAGAAAACAGAGTAGCTACGTTATGGCTTGCGGCTTGTCGACAGCAAAAGACATCCGACCAGCCTCGCGACTACGAGTCTGCCGCCTTCTTAACTGCCTATAACAAGAACCCCCCTTCTTCCCTCAAAAAAGAAACTCAGCCAGCAAAAAGACAGAAAAAGCATAGAGAAGAGAGAAACCGACAACACTCCTCGGGATCGTTGTTCCACTCCCCTCTCGTGATGACGGGGTTCAAGGACAACCTCGTGCTAGATCTAGTATTTGCGGATAACCGTTAAAACAATAACGCGGCCTACAATGATGATGAGCTCGACTTTCCTCGAGTCCGCCGGCGACGGAGACGGAGCTGCGCGCTTCGGACGCATGCCCGATGACTGGATGAACGGTATCGACACTACCGCCATGCCTTTCTCCAGCTTAGATGCCCCCTACGAGGCTTCTACAGTAAGTCACTCTCAACTACCCAACTCACAAGAGACATGTCTAACTCACTTCTCAGCAGCAGAATCCTCTTCAGTCTCCTGAGACGCCCAGTCTCGATAACACCGTCTTCCCCTCCCCTCTAACAGACCTTGCCTACCTTGACCGTTCCTTTGGAGACTTCTCCCCCAACGGCTACGCCATCCATTCCACAACACCGGGCCAATTCCCCGTCCATCCTCCTCATCGCACCTCATCGGCCTTCTCAGAAGGCTACGACCTGTCCACAGGCAGCCCATCCCTTGGCGCCGTCTGGCCAGCTCACGTCTCGCCGGCGGCAACATTCCTACCCACGCCGCCCATGGCAGATGAGCTATCACCTGCTGAGTCTGAGCCTGAGGATGATAACCAGGATGACGATGAGGACTACGACGATGACTCGGAGCCAGCCAGCAAGAAGCGCAAGCGCTCAACGGCAACAAAGACAAGGGCAAAGGGTAAAGACGGACCTAAACGTAATCCCACCCAGCTCCGCACTGCATCGCGTGCTCCCAAGAAGCGCGCTGTTGCTCAGCCCAGACATCCTAGCGAAACTACAGAGGAAGTCAAGGCGCGGGCTGCGCACAACCAAGTTGAGCAGCAATACCGCAAGCGCCTCAACACTCACTTTGAGCGCCTTCTCGCTGTCCTCCCTGCTCCCGGTACAGAAGGCGGTATCGCCAATGATCGCCGCGTGAGCAAAGCCGAGGTGCTCGATCTCGCACGCGAAAGAATTCGCGCGCTGGAGAAGCAGACGGCGAGGTTAGAAAGAGAAAGACGAGAGCTCCGGGGACGAATAGCTCCTGATACACGAAGGTGTTTGGTTTAGAAATGTTCAAGTAGTTTCTCTTAGGTACTGGATGGTTAAAGGATATGGAAAAAAAGGGGTTGGCGTAAGGTACCTAGGCAAATGATCGGACATGATGGCGAATATGGAACACCAAAACAAAAAAACTGCGGATCGGATCTTTATTTAAAATAGCACTAGAAAAACACAAAAACAAAGCATGCTTGCATCGGATGGTTAAAGGGTAGCGGTCACCGGTTAATGGGTTTAGGAGTTGCTTTGACATCGGTACCAGAACTGAAGCTTACGCATTGGAGGATATCTTTATGTTGTTTTGTTGAATGTGCACATCAAATGCTCGGTGTGATTGGTTAGATACTTAATCTCAGCTGCTATTGTCATTTTCGTTTAAACATGATGTTTAGGGATGATGTCTCACTGCCTAACGTATCGCCCAAGGACTCATTCTCAACAAGCTTGATGACGTCTTGAGAAGACCTTGCAGGATCTTGAAATCCAATGTTCGAGTGTAATTGGATCCAGTAATCATATTCAAGAGCTGCCGGGCCAACATTTCCGGTAAGACTGGTATCGAGTTCGAGGCGAAGATGGTGTATGGCTATTGCTAAGGCGTACGTAGCAGGGCTTTCATGACCTTGATCAACCTTACATGGCGATCGGAGATGGCAAGATAGATGTAGAAGATCTTGTAGCAAGTGGTACTGTTGTAATAAGGCAAGAGGGTTGTCCCAAAGAGTGCCAGACCTCGAGAGTCCAACCAGAACTTGGATGAATGGCGCAGGCGCAAAGTTGTGAGATAGAGATACTGCATGAGCCTAAGAAGATGCTCAGACTTGTCGAGTGTCACAATTTTCCGACGTAGGAATTCAAGAGAAACGACGAGTATAGGTACGTGATAATTCGACAAAGACATGTCTTCATGAAAGGGTATTATATCGAGGAGTACAGAAATCTATGAATCTCTTGAACTCCAAGTACTTGGCAAACCGCCTCCTCTCCTAGATCGCTGAATGCCAATAAGGTAACAAGAAATGCAGCTTCATCTCTCATAGCTTAGCCTTGCTCTCTTTTTGCTTCTCCTCTTCCTCTTCCTCCCTCATCACAGCAGCAACACTCTGCCTAAACTCCTCCGCCAAAACCACCGCCTCATCATCATCCAATTCTTCTCTCCTCCCTCTCCCAAACATAGTAAAGCTCTCACTGAACCTCCCACTAGCTCTAATCTCCGGCCTGGGGATGATGTGAAAGTGCATATGCGGTACGACCTGCGCAGCAGCAGCCCCGTTATTCTGCACCACGTTCCAATCTTCAATGCCCGTCGCACGAGCCATGGCTTTCGATAGAACACGCAGATAGCGACCCAGATGCGCGGATTCAGAAGCCGTCACGTCGCTTAGTTTAGGACGGTGAGGCCGTGTGCAGAGAAGAAGATGGCCGCGACTCAGCGGTAGAATGTCGAGAAAGGCGACGAGGACTGGTGTTGAGAGAACAATGAATGAGGCGGGTGATACGAGCTCTGGGTTGATGAGTGAGGATGTTGATGGCGGTGGATTTAAGGGGTCGAATGGCTCGAAGGTGGATGAGATTGTGCAGAAGGGACATGATGATGTCGGAGGAGCTGAAGGATCAAACATGGCTGATGATCTCCTCAAGATGCGATGTATGAGTTGACGTGAGCTTGAGTGTGTTTGGGTAAAGAGTGAAAAGATTGAGTGAAATTAATGACGTCGAGGTTGAGGTTGACGATGTTCCAAGTTCATGAGCGTGAAGAGATGGTACCGAGGTTGAGATGATGGACCGGGGCTTGTCAGGAACTGGAGATCGGGAACTGGGGTGTTTAATTTAGTGCATTTAGTGGAGGTTAATCTCTGTGGGGTACTTCAACCGCCCGCTAACGTTTGCTTCTTATTCAACATTGTCAGCATGAGAGAAGTGTTGAGCTATCTAGGTACTTATCGTAAACTGCGTGGGCACTGTTTTTAATGATAGAACTGCCTTATGGGAGAGCTTGAGAAGTAGCTACTTATCGTTGAAGGGAGCTTGAACTCTGACACAACCACTGGCCTGCGCTTACAATTCAACATGAGAATAGCATTGCATGCATTGCATGCTATCTATACGGAGTAGATGGAAACAGAATAAAAATATCCTTATCTCCGCCATGCTTGGGTGATCTAAGCACTTCCTAGATCAGTGCATCACCATGAGATAGGTGGTCATGCTTGGGCTACAACACAACCCCTACTACGAAGAGAGCGATCTACAGCGACAACATCTGAGAGAAAACGAAAAAAAGAAAAAGAAAAAAGCTGCCGTACTGAAATTACCACTTCAGCATTAGGCCTCTCAAGTAGACCGTAAAACAAAGCCGAGCATTTGACGCCCAGATCATCATAACACCGTTCGTATCAAAACGGTACGTACCCATGCACCTTAACTCACCGCCCAATTCTGCCGCCCAAACTTTCCCATCACCGCCTTCATGACCAATTCCAATCTTTTCCTCCACTACCAAAAAGGCATCAAACCACCAAAACATCACCCAAACAACAGCCTCAAAAATGCCCCGTGAAGAGTACCAAGTCCCCACCGCCAACGCCGGCCAGCGCGGCGGTACCCGTGACGACCACCAAGTCCGTCACGTCATGTCTTATATCTGCGGCGACTGCGGCGGCAGCGTCACCCTCGGAAAGGATGCCACCGTCGCGTGCCCTCACTGCGCAGGCCGTGTTCTCTACAAGGAGCGCACCAAGCGGTACGTTCGCGCCCGATTCAGCTCCTTGGAAAGGGGGCCGAGACTAACAGTGTTTGTAGAATGGTTCAGTTCGAGGCCCGATAGACATCCATTCCGGCGATGATTTTTTATACCAAAGAGAAAAAAAGCTTGCAAAGAATAAAGACGAGAGGTGTTGTGGCAACTTTGATATTTCGAGATGGGAGTTTAGGGGTCTGGGAATTACGTCGAATGAAAGAATAGACAATGCGACACGATCTGCGTGATTGATTGATTACTTCTTTGTTTCCTTCAAAGTCGCCTTGCGATATCTACCCTGCATAACTTCAACCGTGAACTACCAGACAAAATCCTTATGTAAAACCCCAAACGCCACTATATGCTATTTTTTCCCTTATTGCTGCTTCTGTTGATTGTAGAGATACTTGGCGAAACTTGCATCTTTCATGACAGAGTCCTCATTATCGTCCATGGCGGCTGAGTATCGATCTTGGAGACTCTGCTTCTGAGCCTCTTCGTCTGAGTCAGTATCATCATCGTCGTCGTCGCTGGCAACGTCCACGTCATCCTCTTCCTTCTGTGCGACTGGTAGACCACCGACGGACATGCCCTTCATCATCTTGTCCAGCTCCTTCTCTCGTGCAGCCTTCTTTGCCTCCTCACGCTCTGCCCTCTTCCTCTCAAGCTCTGGCAGGTAGTCGCGCAGAAACTCTTGCTTCTTTTCCTCAACGGCCTCGAAGAATTCGTCCACACCAGTACCCAGTCGTGAACTCACGCCGACAACACTGAGATGAGCGTAGAACTCCTCCAGCATAAGACTCATCGAGTTGAGTAGGCTGCCCATGTATCCGCTTCCACCATGACCACCACCTTCTGCACCACCCAGCTCATCTGATTCTTCATCCTTTCGTAGCGCCTCTTGGAAAGCTTCAAAGTCGGTCATCCACTCCTTAGCAAACGCCGCATCCTTGACATCGGTCTTGTTGAAGACGAGAATCATAGGAAGCTTGGTCTTGTAGAGAATAGAACAGGCGTAGAGCATGTTGGACATGAATGTCGAAGTGGAAGCAGTTCGTGGAGTATCAATAACGTAGGCGATGACTGTAGGGAAAGAAGAGGCAAGCGACTCGAGAAGAATGGTTCCAGAGGCTGACCAGACAAAAACTTCGATCTGACCGGGCGTGTCGACTAAAATTCTATCGATGGGCTTGCGATCGGGCTTCTCGGGATCGGGCTGGGCGCGCTTCTCGAGGAGGTTGACGACCTGATCAACTTTTGTAGCGAAGAGGTTGAGCGAGGTGAGAATGCCGCCGTTGGGGCCAAGGTTGTACTGCTTCATGACCTCCTCATAGTTGACCGAGTCTCGAATATCGATGTTGGACTCGAATGGGACCGACAACACAGCGGGATCGAGATTAATGACATATGGAGGTTGATCATTCTGATGGAGGTGAGCGTTGATACGTCGCATGAAAGTAGTCTTTCCAGATCCTAAAGAGAGGTCAGATAAGGTTGCGCAACGATACGATCAGCGCTGAAACCGACCTGCCATGCCAACGCAGACAATAGCGACGGGGGGCGAAGACGCCTTGGGGGCTTCGTCTGTGGAGGCAGATGCCATGTTCGATTATTTGCCCTTATAATTGACGAGTGAGGTTGAGAAAAGGGAACTACTGGGCTAACGGTGAGGCAGAGCGTGGCGTTAGAAGGGTAGGTATGGAAGGAATGAAAAGTGACGAAATGGAGACCTCAAAATTTTGGGCGCAGTCAAGTTAAGTCGATGTGGATGCCCCGCGCGGGGTCATTCGCTGAGAGAGTCTGTCGATACAAAATGAAGCTGAATAAGCCTGATATTAATGCTTTTTAAATACAAGCCGGGGTTTATTGCATTTAGACATTGGAATATAGAATGCGCGACATTTAGTATTCCTTGATTTGCGAAATTTATATGGAAAACCTGAACTCTGGAGGCTGGCTGTATCGAAAGGGTACTTGCTACCAGAGTTAGCTATATTGCTATTCACAATTTACACAGCGTATTTGTGTCACGGCTATGTAATATTATCTTGTTATTCATTATAATTACTGCACCTACTGCGTTGTAGTCATGATCATGACCCTCGAGTCTTGATATTCAACTTTTGCATCTGAAAGTCCCTTACAAGAGCCGGCCCCACTTCTCGGTGAGGCCCCCACTAGATCCGACATCCATGCCAAAAAAAAAGTTGCCCAGCATCGCATAACATCTTTGGCATTTTTCAACACCAACCAAACTATCACCACCACTTCTCCTCCACAGCCCCAACCTAACCACCCAATTATCACGATCGCCATAACTTGTCCCACAGAGCCATTGACGCTCTACCCTCCAAAATGGCCGAGCACGAATCCCAAATGCCCTTCATTCGCAACCTCGCTTCAAGCGGTTCGTCCTCCCCAACCCTCTCTTGTCAATAATCTTGCTAACTTCTCCAGATCGCAAACTTCGAATGTCCTCCCTAGAATCCCTCTCAACATTCCTCTCCTCGCGCTCAAGCCTCTCCGACGTCGATGCCCAGAAGCTATGGAAGGGCCTCTTCTACGCCCTATGGATGACCGACCGACCCATCCCCCAGCAACGTCTCGCCACAGATCTCGCCAACCTCCTCTTCACCCTCAAGCCCGTCTGCGCAATTCCCTGGCTGCGCGCCTTCTGGGCCGTCGTCGGCGCCCAGTGGACAGGCATCGACGTTTACCGTCTTGAAAAGTTTCTCCTCCTCGTCCGTCGCGTTTTCGCTTCCCACGTACGACTTGCTCGCGAGCGGGGCTGGAAGGACGGTGATGTCGAAGCTATTGTGGCTGTGCTGGAGGAGTACCCTTTTGAGAAGGAGGGTGATATGCGAAAGAGCCCTGTGGGTATCAGATTGCATGCGCTGGATATCTGGGTTGACGAGTTGGAGCGTGAGGAGGCGCTTGAACAGCCCGAGGCTGAGAAGTTTGTCAAGAGCGTGGGCGATCTTGTTATTGCGCTGAAGACATGTCCTGTCAAGCCTGTGAGGGCGCGCTGTGTTGAGAGTTACGAGGATGAGAGGTTGCCGTGGGTCAAGGCTGCCAGCGGTGATGAGATGGAGGAAGATGAGGAATGGGGTGGTATTGACGATTAAGAGCCGGTATTTGCAGGCGCATGGCGTTGGGATAGGGAAAATGTATTACGGATATGCCCGACTTCTTTATATATGGGCTCGAGGTTGATACCATCTGAGAATATCACCACCATCTATTATCATTACTACTTGAAGAGTGCAATAATGTATCCTTGAACGCCCGCTCCGATATGCATTCAACAGCAATGTAAACTATGCCTTTGTGCCCGTATAGAACCACCACTCTGACCATTGTAGACGCTAAATTCACCACACCCTGGTATCTCCTCCAACAGTCTCGTCATCATCGACTCGAATCTCATAGCCCATGTCTCTCGCTGCCTGCTGTCGTTGTTCCTCCTCCTGGGCTCGCTTCCATGCTTCCAGCCTTGCTCGCTCCTCGGACGTCTGTATGCGACGCTTCATGAGACCCTTCTTGCGGAGACGACGACGATGCTGACGCTTCTTGTCAAATGAGAGCCCGTGGATGTCAATGTCGGTAATTTCGCGATCGTACCAGACGTCCTTGATGTCGGCATACCAGTCAACCGCTTCTTCCATGAGTTGTCCAGCTAGGGTGCGACCGCGGCCGCCAGTAACCCACTGGTCCAGCTTCACGGGAATGGCTTGTCCAAAAGTAGGATCATCAACGGACCAGACGCAGGGAGGATTGCTGCAGCTGACAGGGCGACAATAGGCGAGGCACATAGTAGACTCGAGAGCATACCAAAGGCCGACGAGGAACAGAACAAAACCAAAGACTGTGAAGCGGAAGGACGGTTTGCGGTGGAAGAGTGGTGGAAGAGGTAGTGAAACGTAAGACACCGTCTTGCCGTCGGAATGCGTGATGAAGGCGGTGCTAGCGCCGTGGTTGTCGCGGAGGGTGGCCATCTTTTCAGGCAGCGGCTCGGGTTTGACGATGTCAAGGAGGTTCTTCTCAGCTGGCTCCTCTTTAGGTGTCTTGAGCTCAGTTGGCTTCTCTTCAGTGGCCTTGTTCTCGGCAGCTTTATTCTTGGTGCTGACTTGATCAGAAAGGCGTTCAATGCCCCTCGCTGCGGTATGGATCCCGAATAGGCTGTTCTTGAGGGTATTGTTCATGCGAGTCATTCGATCCAGATCCGAGTTGTCGTTCTGAGGATCGATTTGGTTGGTTCGTGTATTCAGTTTGGTGTCAAGTTCCAAGTCGAAGTCGAAATCGTCATCAAGTGATGAGTTCTCAGGTAGTTTATCAAGGAGAGCCTCAACTTCTTGAGATGGGGCTTTGCGACCGAGAATAACCTCTTCAAGATCATCTAACGTCGAGTCATCGATGTGATGGGTTCGTTGAAGCTCTTTCAGGTCGTCTTTGGCAGTTGGAAGCTTGGCCGAGTTTTTCAGTGTTCCTCGGCGCCGTGAAAGAGATCGAGTGCGCCGTCTCCTCACCCCACTCGACGAGGTCTTGGTGCCGAGTTTGTCGTCTGTCCCCGGGTCTGATGCAGTGTCCCTATCGCTACCACTCATAGCATGGTCCGTCCTTTTATCACGGAACGATGCAGATCTTTGTCGCAATGGCCTTTCTTCCCTCTTTGGCTTTTCCTGTTTGTCTTTTATTTCAATCTTCTCCACCTTGACTGTCGCTGGTGTTTCCACGTATGCGCCTGTGACCTTTGGCGTGGGCATAGTCAATGGATCCGGCTTCGTCGGTCGCGGTGTCGCATCGAGGTCTTTTTCATCGTCGATATCAGGCTCTGGAGAGGGGGCTTTCATAGAGCCTTTCTCAGAGTGATTATCGCCAGGCGCAAACAGACTGGCCTCCGCCTCAATGCGGTCCGTGGGATCCGCCTCCGAATTCATGGATTTCTTACTCTTAACAGATTCCGTTGAACGAGTTCGAGAGAGGCCAGCAAATGCGACACTAGGTTTGGGACTGAAATCTCTGTTAGAGCGATGCTGACGATTTCGGTAGCCATTGCTGGTTGAAGGTTGAGGAATTGCAGAAGCAGTGTCAGGCTTGGGTTCTAGAGGCAACGGAGCGGGTTTGTCACTGTCGGCCACCTGTCGCGGCTCAGGTTCAGGCGCAGGGCTGGAACTGGCAGCCCGCGCCAGGCGTCGCAGTAAGTCTCGGGAATCAGTACGTGTGTGCGACAGACCTGGTCGCGCACGACTTGTCTCGTCTTTTGAGTCACCGTCTTCCCTGGGGTGGTCCGATTCTGCGCTCTCGCGTCGCGACTTGAATATTGTCACAGGCGTGTCGGGGATACTGACACCGGCCCCTTCATAAGCAGACCGAGATCGGGGCAACGGCTCTTTCGGTTCGGATTCACTTGTCGTTTTTGTCTCCGGGAGCATCCCTCGGCTCGTCCTGGGTCGATCTTCTGGAGAGCGTGAGCGACTCATTGCATTGTGCTCACGAATCTCTTCTAACTTAATTGATGCCATTGACCTCCTAGGTATGCCGTTAACCTCCCGCTGTCGTATGTCGTCCAATTTGGTATTTCTTGGTCTTGGTGCGTTTCGATCAGGTATGGGTATTTGGTGCTCGACCTTCTCCTCACGCTCCCGTATCTCGTCTATCTTTGTATTATGTGGTCGCGGCGGCTCGAGAGGAATATCGCTTCCTGTCTTGACCTCCCGTGACCGAATCTCATCAAGCTTGGTGTTCCTCGCTCCAGGCGGCGCCACCCTCGTCCGTGAGTTAATGTCAATTTCACTGCCTTCATCGAAGTGAATGCGATTTGCAAACGGACGCGGACCCATGCGAAGCCTTGGACTATCCGAAACTTGCAACTCTCCAGCCGTAAAGTCGTCATCGACCTGCCATGCGAAACTCTTTTCGGGAGATGCTGGGCCAGGTGCCTCATTTTGAGCTTCTGGACTCTCAACCGACGGATATAGCTCCTCAATACCTGGGACTAGAGCTGGAATCCGTCCTTGTTTCGTCAGGTCGTCTTTCGAAGGCATTTGTCGTAACGAGTGCGAGCCTATTCGTAGTCCAGCAGCGCTCCCAGGCCGACTATCTGGTCTAATCCCGTTGACAGTCGTAGTTGGAGGTGCATGCGCAGGCGTAGTACTCTCCTGAGTCGGCTCTCTAGGCGTAAAGGAAAGCCCTGCCCTGGACTTGCCATAAAAGTTCCGTCGTCGCGGCGACTCGGTCTTGTCTGGCGATTTCTTTATTTCGGGTATTCTTGAAGCAATTGACCCTCGGGAAAAGGGGCGACTCGGTGCCTTTGTGTCCAAATGATCATGGCTTAACATCTGCCGCATCTGATTTCCTTCTCCTTCGTGTTTCTCGCGCCAAACTCGAGGTGCTGGACTAGGCGATGCATCAACCGGTTGTGCTCCATCGCTGTCATCTTCGATCTCCTTCGCAGCGAGACGGAAAGCATCGGTCATGGAAAGTCGTTTTCGAGTGGACGAGGAGAATCCTGGCGTAGGTAATTTGCTGTCGCGCGATCCAAGACTACCGATGCTCGCTCGCCTGTCGGGATCCGAATTGGTCGATCGAGCGAACCCATTGCTTTGTATACTAGACCCAAGCCTTGAATTGTTCTGCTGCGCTTGATCATTCTCTTTGTTCCTGTCGGTTCCCCGCGGGATGTTGCTTGCGAAAAGAGGTTTCCTTCCGGATTGCTTCACAATAAGCTGACTAGGCCGCTCGGCCAGCGAGCTTTTGTCGCGATCCATCAGGGATACAATTAGGGGTGATTATATGCAGTTATGGTGAGGTCGATAGCACATTATTTGTCGTCGTGGGCAGCGCGTTCATTGCAACGCGATGGCGACTAAAAGTATTTGGATATGGTAATATGGTCGCTCGGGTGTGTAGCTATATGTTGTCTGGGTATGTCGAGTGAATGTTGGTACAGCTTGAGGTCGGGTATCTTGTACAGTCGCGAATCAAAATATCAACAGCGCGCGCAAAAGATAAATTAATTGACCAAATGTTTTTGTCGAGTCGTGGTTTAAACGCGTTGGAGGCTACAGAAAGTGGCCGAGCATGGGGGGGCCTGTCATTGTAGTCTAGTGTCCCCGTCCCGTCATTAACGGAGGTGGGGTCACCGTTCCACCGACCACGTCTCACCGTTACCGCGCTATCACCAACCAATTTAACCTACAGCTACCGCAAGTGTCATAATAATACGCTTTATTAAATATATTGACGGTTAAGAAGATTCTCCGTCTTAATATCCGCTGCCACTTGTAAAATACCCTCCAATCTGCTTGAAGCATGGTTGGGGCGTTTGCTGCCAGCTCAGCCCTACCACTAATTAATAGCTTAAGCTTGGTTAACTCGAAAGATCATTGTCATATCAACCCGGGCAATTTGGCACAATCTCCTTGACCCAAGGTACCTTACTGCTAGCTCAGCAGAACCTGAGTACTTTTTGTTTCTTTGCAAGTTGATGTGCTTGGACATCCTGATGATGATGGGAACCTAGCGAAACAAATATGAATGCAACCCAACTCAACAGCTGATGTGAGACGAAACAAAGTAGTTACCCTGGTTCGTCCCAACTCTTCTTGTTTCGCTCCTCCTTCCTAATCTATCAGTGATATGATGACACATGATATCGTGCTACCTATTGGTTGTTGGTTGCTGTCAAACTACTGAGGCATAAGATCGCAAACCACTACATCTGAGGAAGCTCAACTTGGTTCAAATTAATGGCCAAAATGACCAACAACCTGGAGACCCGTACCGCACGCCGTCTCGGTATCTTGTAAGTCAACCACGCAACCTCATCAATACTTGCTAATCAGCGACCAGAGAGACTGGCTCTGCTGCCTATCACTTGTTCGGCTTGTATCGCTGTGTCATCATATCAGCACGTTATAATGTCCCACCAAATACATCTCCAAATGAAGCCATTCTCGCTGCTGTAGCAAATCTCATCAATGAGAACCCTATGCTCCGAGTGGGCATCCAAGGCGAGGGAGAGATGGAAGCCTACTTTACACACGTGCCCGAGATGCGACTGAGTGATTTCGTGGAATTTCGTACCTGGGGCCCTGGGGAAGATCCTGACAAGTGCCTGAACGACTTGCATTGTGAATTGCATGACCAGTTCTGGCAGAACATTGAGACGAGGCCCCCGTGGCGGGTTGTCGTTGGCAGACCCTCCGGCGTCAGAGAAGACCACGGAGACCCTCTCTTTGAGGACATTTCATTTGCCTTCCACCACTCTCTTATGGATGGCATGGGTGGAAGGCTGTTTCATGAGAAACTACTTGCCCAACTGAACTCTCTGCCGCCGAACCCATTAGCCCCAGAGGTTCTCTCCTTTCCCGAACCACCGGTACTCCCTGAACCACAAGAAAATGTCATCGACTATACGTCGACACTATCTGGCCGAGCTACTCTTCTATGGAAACGATACCGTCCCTGGTTCCTCACTCCTGATCCGCCAAATATATGGGCTGGTGAGCCTGTTGACTTCGATCGCCACAAGGCTTGCTTGGCAACCGTGGATATCCCACCAGAAGTTGTATCGACTGCCCTCAAAGAGACACGCGCTCACGGGACTTCTATGACAGGTCTTTTGCATGCCCTGGTCCTTGCATCACTATCGCGACGTATTCCTACCGCCCCAGCTTTCATTTCATCGACACCCATAAGCATGCGTCCCTACATATCACCCAATGCTGACCCTGCTATCAAGGACGCGCTGTTCGGTGCTGTAACCGGCATGTCACACGAACACTCTTCATCGGCTGTGGCTGCCTTGCAAGCTACAAAGGGTGACGAGATCAATGACCTTATCTGGAGCCACGCAAGGAAAGTCAAAGACGAGCTCAAGAAAAAGACATCATCGATTCCAGTGGATGATGACATGTTGGTACTCGCGACCATTACTGATTGGAAAGCACTTCTACGGAAGAAGGATGGACAGCCACGACCTCGGTCATGGGAAGTTAGCAACGTCGGCACTCTTCCAGCTCCTGCTGAGGGGGATGATAAGAGGAGCATTCATCGCATGCTGTTTACAAATGGCGTCATGGTTGCAAGTGATCCCATGAGTGTTAGTGTTGCAAGTGTCAAGGACGGTCCCTTGACGATGGGAATTACATGGAATGATAGTTTTGTGGAAGACAAGATCATTGAGGGGCTGAAAGAAGATCTTGCGACATATCTAAGGCGGCTGCATGAGACGGGGATAATCACTGATGAGTCGTAGCCTGAAAGGTAATGATGCGAGCCACAGTGGAGATGGCACATGTATGGGAGCTTGATACAAGGTCTCAATGGCTCAATCCGGTCCATGGTAAGTGAGACTCAAGGCTGTCGCCTGTGAACGGCAACTCGGCGAGAGAGTGATCCCGGGTTGCACGGTTCTCCGGGACGGCCAAGGCGGACCCCGAAAATGCCGGACCTCTAGGAGACCCCGAAGACGCTCCAGGGATGAAACGAGATCTGGGACATGCCCATGTCACTTGAAGCTTAAGATCAGCGGCAAGCCAAGTCTTTAGTCTCTAACATAACGATTAACACGAAGTTTATGTTTCTTCAGCAGAGTAGGTATTCATATTCCCGTTATGAAATGTTAAGGGCTATTGTGCATTAAAAGCTATAATCCAAAGTATTCTATTCTTCTTGGAGGTGTGCCCAGATCATCTCACATCAGTCCACCTCATGCCAGAATTCAATTCAAAAGAGGTCGTTAAGGACCTATTCCCAATCTACCCAAACGCCTCGCAAATCTTATGCAATGAAACCGTCTCCTTTTTGGAACGTCTCTACCATCCCTCGCCGGGGTTTCTCCTCGCGCGGTTATTGCCGCGGAAGTAATCGTATGAAGGCTCCTCGTTCTGTGCAAGACCGCTGTAGCCTTGAGGACCGCCGCCCATAGCGCCGACTGAAGGCCCAGGTGATTGCACAGGCGTCATGCGGCCTGGCGTGCTGAGGTTGCTGTATGCGGGAGCCGCGGCGTTCGAGATCAACCCGAGGCCCGATGAGCTTCCGTTGTTTTGCGAGTACAAGGGACTGCGGCCACGGGCGGGGGGCTCTGTGCCTAATGTCATTTGCTGTGTAAATCCGGTGTTGGGCGCGCCACCTGGTCGGTATGCTGAGTAGCTGGTGTCGCCGCTCGTGTTACTAGCAAGAGACATGAGGCGTTGCTGCTGAGCTGCTCCACCCGCAAAGGGAGAACCACTTCGGCCTACAGGTGTGCCGGGTCGTGAGAAATCGCTACCATCGACTGATCCAGGAGTACCAGGGCGAGCGATCTCTCCAGGTCGGCCATAGATCTCGCCTCCGCCATGGTCCTCTGCGAACTCGGCTCGGTTCTTGTAATACTCAAAGTCCATCTGACTGTCTGACACGAACTCGAAACCGGGAACGTTGTTGGCACTCTTGCCTGGTCGTCCTTTCTGCATAGGATCGAGAGAAACCATATCCGAGTAACCACTCACTGTCATCATATCACCGGAATCGACATCTCTGCCATCGCTTAGGCGGCCCTTGTAGATAGCAGGTAACAGGTTCTGCGCGCTCGAATGAACCATGGGAGTAATCAGAGGTCGGTAAAGTGCAGGGTGGCCAAAACGGTTCGCCAATCGCTCACTACGCATACGATTCTCCTTGGGGTCGACGCCGTTCTCGGGCGTCTTGGTGACGTCCAAAATGGTATAGTAGGTAATCTTGTTGTTAAAGGCGCGGTTGCAGTAAATCTTGAAGATGATCAAGATGAATGGCAGTGGTACCAAACTGTAAAATTCGATATGCGTCCCCGTATTGCCACGAACCCAGCAAGTCAACATGACAACCAGGTTAGAAAGCATGGTTGCGAAGATGAAACGATTGAAGATGACTCTCCAGAACATTCCACCGGATTCAGTCTTGGTGACAAAGCGGTAGAGGAGAAGGTACTTCTTCAGCCACGAGTCAATGAGGAAGTAAAGAGCTGTTGCCGGTAGTACCAGGGGTTGGATACCGGCAAAGCACATGGTGACTGTAGCGTAGTAAAGGAAGTAGTTGTAGTAACTGGCGTACTCGAAAGGTGGCGGGGCGGTGAGCTCAATAAGCTCTCGGGGTGTTGGGCTTGAGAACTTCTTGAGGAAGAACGCTTGCACGAGCGGCCACAGTTGGGCAAGGTCAATTGCCGCACCGAGTTGACGCTGGAGCAGATATGTCACCCAGAACGGGCTGGTGTTACACAAAGCTATGAACATGGAAGACGCAATGTCGTTCTTCTTGATGGACTCCCACACATCCTCCTTGACACTTCCCGTAGTATCCCTGACCACGTTGGACACGAAACTCCAGATGACACTGAAGATGGAGAAGATAAGAAGGTTGTTGAAGACGAAGAAGAAGTAAAGCTTGGCCAAAACGTGCCTTTCTCGCCCAGTCTTGGTCTGGTCACCGGCCTTGACTGAGAGTCGACGGAAGATCATAGGCAGAACGAGGTAGGTCAGGGACATGATCGCCGGAGAGAGAACACCCTGAACAGCACCCCATACCTTGGGATGGGCAGCGAGCTCGGTTCTGAAAGCAGGCCAGACCTTGCCCAGATTCTGGAGGTTAACGAGAAAGATGGCAATGCCAAGGTTAGGAACGATCCAGATAAGAGTCAGAAGAGTGATCCAAAAGTTATTGATCCACCGTCTTCGTCCTCGGGTGCTGCTGTATAGAGGCATGTTCTCCCAGATGATGTCATTCGGCCGAGGTGCGAGTCTGACCGTGGCACCGACAGGCTTCTTCTTGCGACAAGCGTAGGCGATACCATGAGCCTCTGCAATATCCGCGTAACTCGCAAAACCGTAAGGCATCGAGCCTCGCTTGTCGACCGTGGCGCGTACTTCTTTGATTTGAATCTCGAGATCACGAATTCGCTGAGTGTAATACTCTATAGCATCCACCTTTTGGCCTCGGGGATAAGTTCCGTAAGATCGGTCCTTCTTGGAGGGTTTGCACATGGGTCGAGCAGCTGGGACGTTCTTGGGGTCCTTGAGGTACTTAGCCAAGACCTTCTCAAGCTTGCGAACAGCGTGGTCGTGCTGCGCGATAAGCTCCGGAAGTTCCTTCACATTTCTGGCAACAGCGGTTCGAGCAAAAGATGAGTTGGGGGCAATCTGATCGATAATTCTTGCGATACCCTCGTCGGAGCAGCCTTTCTTGGGGATGTCGAATACCTGCAAATGAGTGTGAGTAATCGTTTTCTGGTGGTAGCCTCTTGTGATCTTACCATCAGAGTTCGAGAGTGAAGACTCTTCTGGTAATCCTCGCTCTCAAAGTACTTGCGCCGGAGCTGGAGAACCTTGTTGTAGTTAAACCAAAGAAAGCCCATGACGATGAAATTGAAGCACCAGGCGATAATGACCTGGGACCAAATTGCTGGAGCGAAGACATTGAGAGGAGTGATGTTCAGTACCCAGTTGGCTGTTTTATCACCCTTGTACTCTTGCCACCTAGTATAGTTGATTGGGAGTAAGATACCAACACCAGTGAGACACAAGGTAAGGAACATATTACGGCACATGCGAACGAAGCGCAGGAAGACAGTGGCGTCCATACCGATCAATGGTACAAGCTGCTCTTCTTTGGTCCGCCATAATGTCGTGATCCACGACCACGGGGCCTTTCCTATAGGTGGCGGTACGTGCTTCTCGTCGGCATGTTTTAACTTGGGGGCATAAATGGCCTGGTGGTATGGTCGCAGAATCGAAAAGATGATGGCGATGCCGATTGTGACAGGGATCGACGTAGCTAAAGCTGAGTACAGCGAGGCAGCTTGGAGCTGAAGGGCGGCGTTAGCATGGACGAAATCTTGCGATATCATGCATCGATACATACCTGCTGACTGAAGGGTTCTTGAAGAAGATCGAGCAATTGCTTGCCAGTATCCTCTTGTTCCTGCCGACCGTAGAGGTGGGCTGTATAATCCATATCGGGCGCGCGAGCTCCGCCAACTGGCGAAGACGTTGGAGCTTATCTCGAATGTCTAACGGCACTGCAGTCTATGGCGCGACGACTTTTCTCCGAGCTCTCCGATTTTGTTGTTGTCGGCCACGTGTAGAGAGTCGAGATTGACTGGCTCGAATTGGGGATGGTCTCGTATTCGCAGGGGTTCAGAGGATGGATCGCAGACAAGATAAGAGCTGATGAGGATGAGACTATAGGGGCGACTGAAGTGATGAAGATGCTCGAGGTCAGGCGCCACTTGACAGATCAATCGTCGTAGACAAAGAGCCCTTGGTAAACGAGAGTCGCTGTGTCGTAAAAGAAGCTTAGTCGGGAATGCCCGTGAGCGAAAGGACGAGGCGCCAAAAGGGGCGAAGCGAACGGAATATGGCGTCACTCAGGAACAGGCGACGATGATGGGGATAAGATTAAAAAAAGAAGGAAGACAAAGGAATTGGATAAGGTCCGATGATACGGAGAGATATGGTGTTAAGGTTGAGTATAGTAAAGTAAAGAAGGAGGTAAAGGTAGAGAAGGGTAAAAGTAGGGCTGGGGGTGGAGGTTCTATTCGCGGACTAAGACAAGACTAAGAACTAAGGAGCCATGACAATGACATGGGATGGATCCTATTATCATGGGGGTTAGACTCTAGGTAGACGGTTTTTTTTTTCTTTTGGGGGAAGCCATCAAAAGATAAAGCTTGGCAGCCATTATGCATCGATGTGGCAGCGTGAGGGTGAGTGAGCCGGTGAATGAAGCCAATAAAAAGTCCCCTGTTTTAGAAGAGATGCTCAACCAAGCGCTAGTCAGGGTAGAATGATCGAGACCTGTGATCAACAGTGTCAGTTAATGACCACTTAAAAAATGCCAACAGCGCCATCATTCTCATTCCTAGATGCTACATACTGATTCTTCTTACTTCTTGAAGTCTTCATACCATCTCCGTACGGACTAGGTACGACTGTTTACCCTGGCACGCGGCCTCCGTGGGGACAAGTCCCAAGTCCCTAGGTCCCCAAGACCCAGCTTCAGAGTTCAGACTCTCAAGTTCTATTTTTGACGCCTCTCGACCCGCTGTAGTGGGGACCCTCTCCAACCGTAGCACGGGCCGGGAGACCCCTGTCAGCCAATCGTCTCCCTCCCTCAAGCTTCTGGGTACGCCACGCCCTCTCGGTCTTTGCCCCTGCATTGGATGGATCCCCTGGAAACTGGGATGTGAATTTTTTTGGCGTCTCGAAAGACGCTGAGAATACGAACATTCCAACAGGCTTGCGCTTCCAGAAGGGGAAAGTGATGGGATGCTCTCTGCTGGCACTGGCACTTTGCTGGCCAAACGGCTGATGTCAAACTTTTGGCGATCGATCTGCGTGTGTTACAACGCTTTCTTTTTACGACGTCGATCTTTTTTTTGCTCTGGGCTTTTTGTTGCTCTCTTTCAAGGCGGCTTTTGAGAGACATGTCATGCATTGTTCCTGACATGGATTGAATGGCATGAATGGTAATAAACAATTAATTAATCTTGCAGTTTCTGACACTTGCGCCTCAACCGCCTTACCATTTATTCATTCATTCGTTTATTGAATCTCACTCATTCTCATTCTCACGCCCTTTTCCCCATAACAAAACAAACAAAAACCAGATGGATCTTGATCGATGCCCAGGCCAAGCAAGGCCATTTTCCCCGCCGCGACTCGCCACTTACAAGTTACGTAGTAAAATAGTTCATGCTCAATGACATATCGACACGCAACCCGATCGCAATTGGGAAAACAAATCGTGTCAAATCGGGAAATCCAAAGTCCCCAAAAAAATATCTCACGTTTTATTATGTGCCGAGTGGCCCGTCGAACTACCAAAGCTTGTTCCCAATTCTGAAACAACCAACAAAAAAGAAAACATTTTTCTCTTTCGTGATGTGGCCACGTGACGTGTGCGATTCCACGAAGCCTCACCCGAGAGGTACGTCAACTACAGTCCCCATCCAATATGAGTAATAGACTTAGGATCTCTATCCTAAGTGATGCAAAGAATTACATGGGCATCAGATATTGAAGAATTTTTAATTTATTTTAGGACCTAAATTTAAGGTGTATTGCAGAAGGCATCTTATGTCGTCTTTGTTGCTCTGTTGGCCTTTCATCTTATTCTCTATGGTGTCGTATTGTTTTATTCCATGGCGCCTTCAACACGATATGGGCGACTAGAAATACATAAAACAGTCACGACCCAGAGGATAACTTCGTCGAAGATAATAACCTTTGCAATCTCCTTTCGCGTCATCTTGTCCAATTGCCGACTCGTGTTGACAAGTGGCGACCAGCTCCTCTTCTGTAATGCCTGGATCCCGTTAACCGTAAGACGAACGGCCAACTCTTGTAGATAGAGGATGATGCATTTCTTGTTGAATAAGTAGTAAAAGATGCTGGGGATTAGCCAAGTCTCAGAGGGTGTGGCTGGCACTGAGTGATCGAGCAGCATCAGGTCACCGATTAAGTAGTACGGATTTCGAGCAAATGCCATCAATGCATGCGTCCTTGGATCACCTGTATGCTTGAGAAAGGGTTTGGTGTAGATGCCTATCAACCGAATCAATACAGAAAGTGTAGCGACGGCGATCTTGAACTGTGCACTCATTTTGAGGATCGTGGTTGGAGGATAGCAAATGACTGGTGTTTCGTGTTTCCGAATCGAGTGTCGCACTGAACCAGCTTGAGAAGGAAAAGGTCGAAGTCTGTGGGTTCAAAAATGAGGCCTATCAACCCTTTTATATATTTCTTGAGGCTGCGTAGATAGAGTCGAATCAGAGGCGTGATGCGGACAAACCATGATAGAAAGCTTCTTACCTTAGGTAGATAAAAGATGTAAATTTGACCTCGGGAGGTAGGAAACTTCTGACCTTATAGTCTAAGGTCTTCTAAATTAAAGCCGACATTAGCCAAGTATTCGTGTCACTTAGGCTAAGTTTTGCTGTCTCCCTTATCTTGGTTATTGAATGGTCATGCTATTTATATGAATAGAGTATATTAGAACTTAATGCGTGGCTGGCTACGAACCCTGAGAGGTGATGCCTTCGATTTTGGGACTTCTCTCCAGTCCCGTAGTAAAGCTTAATCTTGAGATGCAAGTGGCAACGAGTCTCACTGGGTTGGTGGACGAGCCTAATTTGAGTCTCTTACGTTTTGGCAATACTCTGGCTAGTTTCGTGGTTTTGACCAAGACAATTACTTTAATCATGTCATGTATTCCGAGTACCAGCATGATCAAGCCGACTGACATTGGTCTGACATCCAAGAGAAGAGGCTGGATGACCAAGTCAAGCTTATTCAGCCCTATATGGTGATAAAGATAAATTTAGACAGAGTCTGACCTCAGTCCTCATCCACTGGCATCACCTGTCTTAGGACTACGGAATCCTCTGCATCTCACTTATGTACTTCCCGAGAAGCCGCAGTCAATATCTTTATAGCCCTGGATCCGTCATTGCCAGAAAATTATGAGAAGTGATCGCATTGACCCTTTCTTTATAGTGTCAAATATGTCATGGAAATCCACGACCTTGGTGAAATAGCCATCTCACGTCTCTCGGTACACAAACTTTGTGCCACTGCCTGCTCACAAAGAAACTCAGTGAGGGGAACTGCAAACCATCGCGATGTGATTTGAGCGGGTAGAGATGCCCACAAGCAGCATCCTCGTGCTAAACTTCGGAGTAGATAATTCGGATCTCTTCTCAGCCAAAGACATATTGAGTTGATGGCCGGCCAATTCTAGAAACGAGAGAGCTGCAATGGGGCATGAGAAAGCATGAAAACTGGTATCCGTGAGCCCTCAAGTGGGAGAGAACACAATAGCAACACACTCGTAGATTCCTTAAGTCGCACCCTCAAAGTTGAATAGAAACCGAAAAGTTCACCACGAGAAGTTCGGTAAGGGTAAATATCGAAGGGTAAGAATTCCCTCTACTATCCATATCTCTGAACCAAATCTCTCATAACGTCAAGAACCCTGTAAAGCAATTAGGAGCTATAACATACAGCAGTTCAAGAATAGCCTCACTGCGTACGAAGTGTCTTATTGTCGACAAAAAGGGCTGAGACGTGAGTGTCAAATCTCCTAGCTTGACGTCAGTCCTAGTGGCCAGGCAGAGAGAGGTGTGTTTCTTTACTCACAGCCTATAGAGGTCCAGCCGACCTTCAAAGTCCTCTTCTGGTGCCGAAATTTGCACAAGCTTGTTGTAGGCAGCGATATACTCATCTCCAAACCTATTGCATGCTGGTCGCCACTGGCCAAACTCATCTGTCAGTGCAAAATGGTCAGCAGAGGAAATGGTTTGGCCGAAGAAGGGAATATACATTCGTGGTGCGCAAAGAAACAACATGCATCAAAGATGAGAGGTTGGTTGCTCTCGGCATCAATCCCTGTATTCGCATGCCAGAGGTCTCCATGGATTAGTGAAGGCTTCACCGTTCTGCCGTCACTCTCAAGAGGTCTTAGAAGTCTTGGTATGACCTTTTCGAAAAGAGCTTCCGAGAGAACCTCCAGCTCGTCGCTATTTCCTTTCACATCGATCTCTAGGTCAAGTGCTTGTCTCATCGACTTGGCAAAGAAAGTTTCCCAGCTATCTTCCCATGCCACGTACTGGGGTAAATTTCCTGCGTATGTTGTGATGTGGAAGCCGAACTTTCCAGTAGACGATACACTTTTCTGGTGCATTTTTGACAATCGAGAAGCAAACTCGTCAGGGCCGGGCATATCCTCCTTCATTTCTCGAAACTCGCAGAGAAAGAAGTGTGTGTCTGGGATGGTCTCGTAGGTGCCGCAAGCGATGGGCTTTGGGACAAATTCTGGAAGAACTTCATGTATCGCACTCATAGAATGGAACTCCCCCTTTGCCATGTTCATGCCTACCCCCTGCTGAAGGATCTTGATGAAAAATGATTGAGGGGAACCGTCGCTGAGCAAAACATCAATTCGACTAGTCTTGGCCCAAAAGCTGATCCCATGGGTCTTGATGGAAGTTATATCGCATCCCTCTGGCAGCTCTAGTGAAGCAGTTAGTATGCAGTCGATGTTTTTGCTGGCTGTCCAGAAGCTTTTCTTTTTCCAGCTTACCTCTCAACACCACAGCTGGATCAATCCTGGCATTGCATTCGTCTTGGTCAATATCGTTGTGCTCCATCTCATTTTGTGCCGAATGTGTTCATCATACGCCGCAAAATGCGACCGGGTTTAGAGAGGGGACAGGCTTATTAAGATGTAACTGCAACGTACGTTCCTGGTTTGATGGCATGCATGTACCGATACGCCCGACTGGCTTAATTAGTGGTCGCTCAACATGAAATTGGGGATAAACGGCAGCCAGCGACAAGTATGCTTAAGCAATGCTCTTGAGGAGTAAGGAAAGACTTGATAAGAGGATGCCAAAATAAACTCTGTAAAGAGTCCTCTAAGCTTAGGCCAAATTACCTAATTATCTTTTACCACTTAGGATCAAGGCCGTAAATTTTCTTGCTTCCCTTAGACTGCTCGGTGATGACTTGTAAGAATGGAAGACAGTGTTATATAAGAATGAATACATATTGTAGTCCCCAGTCTGGTAGATCTTACGGAGCATCTCAATGTGCGTCCTTTCTTAGCTGAGTCGATTCATATCAGTCAGTGCCCAGCCATTGAGATCTCAATGATCCTGTCACGCCAATGTTCAACGGGATAAACGACTTTGATGCCATTTGCTTCGAGCTTTTGCTGTCCTTCATTATTTGCAATAAAGGTTCCTGGCTCCCTGATCCCCACATAAACAGTCTTAATGACGCTCTTGAGTCTCAAGATCCTAGTTACGCAAGTCATGTTGCCGCTTAATCTCTCGTTGCAGGGCTCCATGGTTGTATACAATGCCGTATCTGTTGGAAGGACCTCGTCAATGCGTTCCTCAGGAATGTTGTGCTCGTCAGCAATCTTAATGAAGCAACACTGCTCTGCGTGTGTGGTGCCCGGGTCTCCTTTATAGTCTCGCGGATATTCCAGCGAGAAGCCTGTCGATATAACTCTGCCTGTGGCTGCGTTGGTAAGGACGGCCCCGACGCAAAACTTGTTGGCACCTGGTGGTGACTTCTTTGCTTGGGTCAAGGCAAACTCCATGAAAGCTTCATGGTCACCAACTTCAAACGTTGGATAGACCGCCGAACCCATGATAAGCAAGTATTGCACAGTAAATAGACAATAGTTCCGGTAAGTTAAGTCACTATGTATGACGGAGAAATACTTCAAGAGGTGCGGCCGAATGCGAATGTTCTTTACACTTGCCATGAGTGATTTTTGACATGAGTATGGGGTTGTGTTTGGTCCTCGTGTTGTTGGTTCTACGAATGGTAACACGCTTAAGGTACCTTACCCAACAGTGGAGTCCCAACGAACCTTCAAGGAGCTGCTGATATACATGTCAGGGGTTTGGAATACTGATGTAGAAAAAAAGAAACTCGAACTTTTAGCATGCAGAAGATAATGAAGTCTTTCGGAGTTTAAGTCTAATTTGTGATAACAGGGATCGCATTCTATCTTTCATGAGCGTTTCCAACCATTATCCCCGGTTCATCTCCTCTGTTTCAACTAAGCTGCCTTCACATCTTTGCTGTCGACCAAAATCAGACGCAGATAAATACATAAAATGCAGTGCCAGAGAAACTGGAATTCGCGAGACACTTTTCGGATCCTACCTATTTCGCTTATTCCGAGCCCTTCTATTCCAATTAGAGACAGCACGTTCTTATCCCCATAAGCAACCAAAAAGCACTTGTCTCAGCCGACCTTGACACAGTCATATGATTAGATACATAATCACCTCCGTGCATAGAGTCCTGAGCACCCGGTGTATTGGTACCAAAGACAGGAAGCAGGCGATCCCGCAGTAGCAAGAATGTCGAGTTCACTGGAGTCGGGGAATGACGCAGCAGTGAGAGAGAAAACAAAACAGATCGAAGGGATTGAATCTATTGGTAGTCCATGTTGTAGATGCAAGTGGGTACTGATGAGAACTGCTTGGAGGGGCGTCAGTAATGTTTGATAAAATTCCCAGTGATATTTGTTCAGGGGTGCAGGGGTTGAAGAGATGGAAACCAGTGTCCATGCCGCAGGGGAGCTTTGTATCATAAGGCACCATGGTAGTCAAGTCCGCAAATCCACTGGAAGTAAAAGGTTGTTGCCAAATACCTTTCAAAACTCGTTGCCAATGATCGCCATTGATGTCGTAAAAGTGATGTTCCGTAATGGTAGGAGGTCCAGCCCTCAGAGTAAGATTTAGCAAGGAACGATGATCAAAGAACTTCGGCATGGCAAGAGCTGATATAATCGACATGTGTCCCAAGCTCTCGAAGTGAATGCGACCACAGGCTGATAATCGTTTGGTTCTATTCAAGTGTTAGACTCAATCATTGACGCTGTAGGAGATGTATAGTAACAGATAGGGGAATACGTACAGAAATGGTGTATCGCTGAGGAGAGATATATCGCTCGATGGATGTTGGTTAGGTTGAGAGATGTTTGAAGAGAAGAGATGTGTGATTTGCAGTTGAGGCTCGTGGCTGAGAGCTTCAATCAGCAGACAGAACTTAGTGTGAAGAGAAGAAAACCACTAAGTCCAACGAACATGTTGATATGTTCGTTGGGCTTGAGCGACTTCCTTCCGCATCTAGATTAGGTACCTAGGAAAGGGAAGCAACGAGGTTACCCAGTTAGCAGTAACAAGCCCTTCCACTTGCAGTTCTTACCTCCATAACTGGAGAGTCCCTTTAGCGGGAGTCTCAAGTACCCAAAATGAGCAATAATACTTGCAGTACCTAGGTACCTACGGAAGTAAGTAAGTTATCTGCCAAGTATATCCCCTTTTTCATTAGCTTACACTTCAACGCTTTCAACTACTCCCCACTAGGAGTTCAAACCTTGCAAGACGAGTCGCGATGCTTACTAGAATTAGATGTTATTGGTGTCCTGGATGACAAAGAGAAAGGTTCCTGGAGAAATCTTCTCTTTTTGCATACCTGGCTGGGTATATGGTTTTTGACAGTTTTCACCTCGCTGAGAGAAAACTGAGTGAATTTGAGAACATATTGTCGATTGACATCTGGATAGTTAGAGTCTCTCCCATTGGAGGAAGATCGACGGATGGATAATAAATCGTCTCGTTTTGATTGTGTACTGGAAAGCTTCACCTGTTCACAAAACGTTCTCTGAACCTCTTCATCACATTGGATGTTCGCCAATCTAAGCTTCGAAAACGTCGTCTCCATTGGCGACTAACTTTCATTTGCATGAATCCTATCCATGTTTAGACGAGGCAACAGAGCAAAGTATGAAAATTCTATTCTTCGATAATGGCATAAATAGCAACCTTTTGCTACTCGACTTCAGTCTTCTTCTTTTCATTTTCTCCCCTAGACCATAAACCCCAGCTCAAAGTCCCAAATCGTCAAGCTACGGATACAGCATCAACTCACTACTATTTACTACGAGACCTTCGTTGAAAAAACATTTAAAATGATCATCGTAGACATATTTTTGTTTCTCTTTGCTCCATTCTTTGTTGCTATCCTCTGGAGATGTACCGGCGGCCCTCCACCGCCTGCCCCCCGTCATCTCAACTGCATCCGCCGCCTCGAGTACTATCTATGCCACAGCACATATAGACAGACGCTCGCCGGTTTGCTTCTGCTTCTATTCTTCGGCAACATGGTTATCGCGATCGATGAGGGGAAATATTCGCCCAGTATATTCTGGCCATCTTCGAGTCCAACGCCCATTTTGCAGTTCTTGACTGTGATGCTGCTGACTGCAGCTGTTGTTCTCTTGGTTATGGCATATGGAAACCGTGGAGACCCAAAGGCTGGGGCTACCGCGAGGATCGATCTCTATCTTTCTGCCGTGCAGTACTATTGGTGCTAGTCTCATACACTATGGCAATTTTGGGAGGTTGAGTACTGCTTTATTGGAATCCTCTGCGTCTATCGAGAAAGTTTAATCCTTGTTGACAATGTGGTTCAATCCAAATAACGGGTAACTAGTGCTTAGATGAAGCTCAGTGAAGCGCTTCAATCCTTAAATAGGCCTAATCCCAACATTGAGTTCCACCGTTTATGCTGTAGCAATTGGCCAGGCATGGTGTGATAATGTCCAAGTTGTGAGCCAGATGTGTTATTGTAGTTGGGACTGGAGTCTGAGAAATTATGTCAGTACCAAGAACTTAGAGTAAGAAATCAAGTAACATACGTAGCAAGTTGTATTCTTTCCAGGAGGGGTTGGGGCTGAAGCGCCAAAATTCGGTGTGCATGATATGTCGACTAGCATCTGACGGGTGATGTAGTGTAGGTAAAGAGCATTTGAATGTAAGGATTGCTAGTATCACATATGGGTTCCGCTGCCGAATCTTGATGTAGGTGATAATGTTGGGAGGTGGGTCGTGAGCCAGATGTTATTCCAGTTAAGACTTGCGGCTGAGAGCTTATATCAACATAGAGAACTAGTCCGTATAGGTGTTGAAGCAGGAGACTATGATGATGAAGATGTTGGAAGACAGAAGACAATGAAGAAGGGTGTTTGCTTCCAAATCGATATAGATGTCGAGACTGAAAGCCGTGTTGCTGATACTAGGTTGTTGGGAGACAGAGGATAATAAAGAAGGGGGTTTGCATCCGAGTCGGTACAGATGTCATGAACTGAAAGCCGGGGTGCTAATGTTGATGCTGGGAGACAGAGAATAATGAAGAAGGGTGTTTGCTCCTGATTTGACACCGAAAACTGAGAACCTGACAGGCCCGGAGGGCCGAACTAATGAAGAAGGGGGTTTGCCCCGGCTGGACCTGGCAAGGGTACCGGGGTTGTCGGGAGCCATACCGTCATCTCCCCCCCAAGCGAACCTACTGTTAAGTCGCATTGCCGACAAAGCTGTCAAAAATGATTCGGCGAGCCTCATCATTTTCCATCAGAGCACGAGTGAGCACTATGGCCCACCGTTGAACTTCAGGCTTGGACATGCAGAGCGCCGCCGCAACCAGTAGGAGTGCCACGCTGGGGTGGATCGGGTACAGCTCCATGTTATAAAATTGTTGATTCTAATGAAGTGTTAGCAGCCAGCGTATCGTGGACAGAAGCATCGACCATATTGCGAAGGCCATCCCGCCACGATGAAGCTGAGAGTTGATATTGGCAAAGACGCACGCATGGATGCTGGGCAATCAAGTGAGGGCATACGTACAAAAATTTTGTAGTAGTTATCGCTTTAGCGCTATATATAAGCGAGTGTATGTTGGTATGAAGAGAGGAAAATCACTAAGTCCAACAAACATCTTGTTATGTCCCTTTGCCTTGAGCAACTTCCGTTTGCAATTTGTATAGAGAATGGAAGCCGCGATATACCCATTTGGTAACAACACAGCTCATCTTGAGACTTTCACTTGCCTCTATTGCTTACAGAGCAGGAAGGAGTCCTTTCAGGGAAGTCATGAACGCCCGAAGCCAGCTGCACGATGCTCACAACAACTTGGGAAGAAGGAGAGATAGTGCGATAAAGTTTGCTTACGATTCACAACTTGACCTTAGCAGTTATATCCCTGTCCAGTCATTACCTACAGGTACCTAAGATAAGTAGACGTTACTTTCGTAATGTAGTAGGACACTTATCAATTTTGCCAATCCCATCTCGGGATTCGTTTAACTAAGTTTTATTTGTATGAATGCTATTAATGTTTTAGAAAAACACAGCAAAGTATATTTGTTTTATCCTCCCTGCACTGGTATAAATAACCCTCATTCCCTATCCAACTTCACTCCTTTTCGTCCCATTACTTTACTTTCCAGCTTCACCCTTTTCCGTTTTCGTTTCCTTGTGACCTTCATACCACAAACCCCAACATCAAACCCCCACGCCGTCAAGCTACACACGCATACGAGACCCTCGTTTCAAAAACAACAGTCATGGCTATAGATATACTTTGGGTCCTTTTGGCAATACCCTACGGCTGCATCGTCAAGATGTTCACCGGCCCCATGGCACCTGCTCCCAGTCATCTCAGCCTCATGAATCGCCTCGAGTACTACCTGTGTCACTACGTCTATAGACAGACGCTCTTAGCACTCTATTTATTCGCGGTGCTCGGTTGTGTGCTCGTCGCGATCGAATTTGGGGCACCCTGTATATTCTGGCCATACCCGAGTCGGAGGCCTTTTCTGGACTTCCTAATTTTTATGGCGGCCATCCCAGTTGTTTGTTTCTATGCTACAGTATATGGCAGACACGGATCACCAGAGGCTGAGGCTCGTGAGGTTGAGGATATAAACGATCTCTATCTTACTGTCGTGCAGTACTATTGGTACTAAATCCCAAACAAGATGAAGCCTTTGCAAACTCTGGCAATTGGCAAGATAGTTGTGCCCCGGCTCCGACGTTCAGAACCTACTCCACTTCTCCGAGGCGGATCCCCGGCATTGCCGCTGTGGACGGAGAAAACAATGGATGGATCTTCGGTGCTTGGTTGGGCTTAGCTTGAATGAGGAGCGCAGGTGTTATCAGTCTAGTATAGCAATATCATGGCGGACACAATCTCCAATAGACCATTCTTCTCAATAAAGCACTGTATAATTAACGAAATGGCAAATGCAAACAGTGTTTACTACCTGACGCACAAATATACCCACAAATCCTTGAACCAGGCAGGTCTCGGGATGATGTTCCTTTTCCCGTTCCCATCCGCCATTTTCGCCGTCCCACCCCTAAATCATGTGTTGCAGCAATCATAAACCATCATAATAGATCAAGGAAAAGCCTGCCAATTCGCATTGCTACTAAACCTCAACAGGACCTTGACTTCGCGTCTTACGTGCAGTTTTCCCAGCAACCGGGCTGACCTTCTTGTCCTTCTTCGCAGCTTTCCCGTTTTCGTGCTTACCGTTTGGCGAAGTATTCTCAGTGGCGGTCGGCTCATCCGCGACGTCTTCAACGCGAGCCTTCTTCTCAGCACGCTCCTCCGACTCCGACTTCTGTGTCGCAGCGGGATCGGATGCGCCGTTGGTGGCAGCAGGAGGCTCATCGGCCTTGCGCTTTTCGCCTGCAGCTGCTTCGGCGACGTTGTTGACCTCGGGCTTACTAGCGCCGTTGATGCCCGCTGGCTTGTCGTCGGCAGCATTGTCAGTCATAGGGACATCCGTTGGGGCGGAGACAGCAGGCGCCGATGTTGGAGCATCAGTGATGAACGCATTCTCGTCCTCGTTCTTTGGCGTTTCCTTTGGTTCTTCTTCGAGGTTGAGCACGGGTCGTGGAGTGCCGCCTGCAGGTGTCATGTTGTTGACGGGTGTCTCTGGCACAGACGCAACCTCGACGGGTTTCGGCGGGGCGCTGAGACCACCGGCTCCGTCAGTTGGTTTGGTCTCCTCCGGCTTGGCGGGCTGCGAAGGAGCTGTTGTGGTGTCCAAAGTGGGAGCGCCGGCCTCGGCCTCGGGGGCCGTGGGTTCAGGTGCGCCGACTAGGGCATGTCAGCTCAGAATTCCGTGTATAAGCGCAGTGTTGAGCTACGGAGGTCGAAACAGCCATCGCGAACAAGCCAATTGCGAAGCGCTGCATCAGACGCGATGGGAACGAGGCCATTGAGACGGCTGGCGATGGGACATACCTTTGTCTATAGCTGGAGCGATTCCGTCCGACATGGCGATGACGTAACAATTTTTTGTCGCAAGCTGACTCTAGCTTATAAGCGTGTGTTTGCGCGACGCAGCGAAGTCAATAATGGATACGAGAGATATTTGCGATAATTTCTGAGGCTACAAGAGTGAGGAAGCTTCACAATGTTGATGTAGGAAGTAGGTCAAAGTCGGGGAACGAGACACGAAGAAGGGGAGTGAGGTTGGCAGAGAAAGGCACGAGGCAAGTCACGACGGTCGGTTCCACAAAGCCATGCCCATCCATCCACAGCTACCTTACCTATAGTACCTTGCCTAGAAACAGAAGCAGCATGGACAGACAGAGAGAAGCCAGAAGCAAATTGGTAAGGCATGGGTAGCTCCGAGGCCGAGGCGGAGGGCGCACAAACAGCATCGAGGTTCCTCACCCGTGGGGAACGAGTGACGGGATACTTGGACAAGATGAGCCAGGGAATTGGAAGAGGAGAACGCATAGCACGCATTGGGCCAAGGAAAAGCGCCCTTTCGTCACTCGACTGTAACTCCGTGGACTGTGAGGTTAGCCCAAGGAACACCCGTACTTGACGGTGTGAACTCTGTAGATCGGGACGGACTTGGTCGTCATCTCGGATTGGCTTTTGGAAGGATCCCAGTTCCCAGTCCTTTTGCTTCCCAGCTGCATTTGCGTGCTTTGCGGGGAACAAGAGGGAGCTTTGGTGGGTCGGGAGCTCCTCAAGCCACCGATCTGGGAAGACAGAGGATTTGAGGTGTGGACCGCCGGAACCAGTGAGACACAGGACGGGCTTAGTACCGGTACTTGGTGTTTGCTGGGGAAGTGGACGCGAGGTCAGGCGGAGAGGAAGAGACAGGAGGCTCTGTGTTCACTGTTCAGTACCTTACCAGACGGTAAATGTCCAGTGACGCAAGGAAACGTTCTTGTTCAACAACATCAAGTCATGTTTGGTATTGATCAATCGGCCGATGACCCAACAAAAAGACCTCAAGTGACCAGCAAAGCCGCTGCTGTCTCAAAAGCTGACCAGCATGACGCAGAATTGACAATCGCACGCAAGCCCTGCAACCGACCTGCAAGTCATGTCATGGTCCAAAACCAATCCATGTTAGCAGATCGGCATCGGCCAAACCAAAGCTTGTACCTCACCAGCCACAGAAAGTCTCGCACAGCCACAGTCAATTCAGGGGCAGCCATCGTGAGCTTAGTCACCCCTGTCTATCCCCAATCGCCAGCTTCAAGGTGTCCCCTTGGAGTGGCTTGACGCGAATAACGACGAGACATCCAACAAACGCAATTCCCCAAATTTCCCACGCTCATTTTGTCGTTCGCGATCGGACTCTGATCTTTTGTCTCTTCAGGTCGCTTTCCCGTTTAACACCTTTCTTCAACGATACCCCCCTTCTAATCGCCCGCCATGGCCACAACTAAGAACAAGTACTCGGTTATCTTGCCAACCTACAATGAGCGCAAGAACCTGCCCATCATTACCTGGTTGTTGAACCGCACCTTTACTGAGAAGTCAGTACCGTCTTCCATGCAGATTTGACAGGCGAAAAGCTAACCCTAACAGCAACCTTGATTGGGAAATCATCATCGTCGACGACGGCTCCCCCGATGGAACCCAAGAAGTTGCCCAGCAGCTCATCAAGGCCTACTCCCCCCACGTTGTCCTCAAGCCCCGCGCTGGCAAGCTCGGTCTCGGAACAGCCTACGTCCACGGCCTCAAGTTCGTCACCGGCAACTTCGTCATCATCATGGATGCCGACTTCTCCCACCACCCCAAGTTCATCCCCGAGATGGTCGCTCTCCAGGCCAAGGGCAACTACGACATCGTCACGGGTACTCGCTACGCTGGAAACGGCGGTGTCTTTGGTTGGGATCTCAAGCGCAAGTTCGTCAGCCGTGGCGCCAACTTGTTCGCTGATACTGTCCTCCGCCCTGGCGTGAGTGATCTCACTGGCAGCTTCCGACTGTACAAGCGTGCTGCGCTTGAGAAGGCTATTGCTAGTACTGAGAGCAAGGGATACAGTTTCCAGATGGAGCTCATGGTGCGTGCGAAGGCTATGGGATGCACCGTCGCTGAGGTTCCCATCTCTTTCGTCGATCGTCTTTATGGAGAGAGCAAACTTGGTGGCGATGAGATTGTTCAGTATGCCCAGGGTGTCTTCAACCTGTGGCTCAAGGTCTAAGAATGTGAATGACATGCACAAAAGGGACACATCTTGTTGGATGGGGGCGTTTGGGGAAGTATAGTACCGTTTAATCTAATACCACGTTTCTTCGTCAATTAATGCCCTTGACTGATCCAGGAGTCCTATTCAGCTCGCCGCCTAGATATACTCTACATATTACGACCTCCAGTGACCATGATGGTCTGACCTGACACATACGAAAACAATGGACTCGCCACAGCCAGAACAGCGCTCGCTGCCTCAGTTGCAGTACCGGGTCTCCTCAGCGGAATATCTGCATGGGCATTGTCCCCCGCTGCCTGCGTCTGCTTTGTCGGAATACCCAGGGCAATTTTTTCACCGTCTGGCCCAGTAACAAACGCGCCATCCTCCTTGGCCGCTGTCAATCTTGTGAGAATATGTCCGAAGGCAACAGTATTCGCTCTCACGCCGAAGGAGGGACCCCACTCCTTTGCAATCGTCTTTGTGAAGCCTGTGATACCCGCCTTTGCAAGAGAGTAATTGAGCTGTCCCGCATTGCCGTGCACTCCGGACGTAGATGAGATATTGACGATGCAACGGGGAGCGCCATCGCGTACACGGAAGTAAGGGGCTGCTGCGCGGACGAGAGTAAAGGGGGCAGTACAGTGAAGAGCGAGAATAGTATCCCACTGCTTGTCTGTCATCTTGTGAATGACACCGTCCCAAGTATAGCCTGCGTTGTTGACGATGATGTTAATCTTTCCGTCGCCAAAGTCTGCAGCCTTCTTGACCAGATCATTGACATATTCTGCCTTGAGAATGTCTCCAGGCACAGCTATAGCCTGGCCGCCATTCTTGTTGATGTCATCAGCAACAGCCTTGGACTTTTCTATTCGAGCGAGAGTCAGACATCAATGTTTCGAGAACAAAGGATAAGGCCACTCACCGGCGTCGATATCTGCAACAACGACTTTCGCGCCCTCTTTAGCAAATAGCCTGGCAGCTTCTGCACCGATTCCTTGGCCGCTGCCTGTGATGATGGCTACTTGGCCAGCGAGTAGACCTTTGGGGTAGTTGAGATGACCAGTGAGTTGACTAACACGGTCCGACATGTTCATTTACTGTGTACTGATTGTGCTATTGGGTCGTGCAAGTAAATTATTGAGAATAATGAACAGGACCAGAATTCATGGGCATTTCCCCAGATTCAGGTCCTTTAATGATCCCGGGGATCGACGAGATCGACGTATTTGAGCCGAGGCTCAATGGCGGGCAGTATGTGGGGTAGCTCCGGACTTGACGGGGGATGGCATTAGGGAGCAAAAAGATTCTGATCTTGACCTCGGCTGTCAAAAATATTCAGTCTAAGATTGCACTAAATCCGCAATGAAAATGCCTAAAACAGCCCTGGATTCCTTAAATATTTTGTCATTTTGAAAGGAGGTCCGAGGTTTTTTTGCCCCCTCCCCCGAAGATGCGATATATCAGTCTTGATGATAAGTTATACCTTGGTTGAATTTCGGTATTATCTGTATAGAAATATCATTTCGGCACAGAGATAGAGCTAGTCGCCATCTGAATGAAATGGTGTACCGAGAGTCCTGCCTTGGTTGATACATTTTATCTGAAATGTCCCAGCTGTACGGAGTACCCTGCCCCCAATTACACTTCGTGATGATGTTTTCTGGGTTCGGATACTTTCTTGTCTTCAGAGTTAACATAGAAATAAGCAAACTGTAATTTAGGGCTCACTAACATAAATATAATCTGAATTCTTGTAAGCCTCAGGATCCTTTCGCCCAAGTTCATCAATCAGAGTCCTTCCATCGCTTCGAAGCACAACTGTCCATCATGTCGACAAACTCCGAAAGCTGTAGCCTTCTGGGACTTCCAGCTGAGGTTTTGATGTATATAATCAATCACATAGAGCTTTGTAGCTTGTACTGGCTCTCACAGACCTGCAAGACCATGCGACACCTAGCAAAGAGGGACTTCCGCACCCTGGTCAACACCAATGCTGAAGACAAGGCCAAGTTCTTGCTTGGTCTCGCATACGTACTGCCAGACCACTATTTCTGCGGGAACTGTTGTCAGCTGCACATTTTCAACCGCCATGGCTCCTCACGAATGCCGTCTCACTGCTGGGATGATTCGGTCAACCATCGGCGCAGTTGTGCGATCCTTTACGACTTACAACACCAGCACGTTCAACTGGCCTTGAAATATAACCGTCTTGGAGGATTCTATGACCATGCAGCTGCGAAGTTTATGCGATCTTATCGACAATCATGCTCTGGCGGCCCTTTGGGATCAAACATACACTTCTCTGCCACGCCCGAGATCAAGAATTTCCGTTTTCTCCTACATGAAGAATGGAAACTCCAGGCTAGCCTCACTGCAACTCCCGACTCTACGGATGTTTACCTCCCTATCTGCAATCACATAGACCTTTGGGGCCATAAGCCGCCCGTTCATTCCACTACCGAGATCTTGGGTACAGTATGGGCTTTGGTACGCCATGCAACGCCGTTTAAGGATAGTGAAGCGGAAAGAAGTTACGCACCTCGTGGTTCTTGTAAAACATGCTCGACGAGTTACGAGTTCAGTGTCTCCAGGGCAAACGGGGTTGTAGTAAAGACAACCCACGACTACGGTATGTTCAATTCCCTGGATGAGTGGAAGAGACGCAGTCGGAAAAATCGCATAGTTTGGGCAACAAGCAAGTTGGACTTTGGTTTCGTCGAAACCGATTCGGGAGAGTTTGAGGAGGCGATTTTTGAAGAATGATTGATCTTTTGGCTTTAAAATATTGGTTGGCGCATTTCAGAAAGAGTGTGTTGTTCATGTACCACGTCTACAAGACGCGTGAAAATGCCGGCCCCCCCCTCCATTCTAGGGGATGAAATGACTTGGGCAAGTTTGGTTCGTCTTTGCAGGCCTTTAGACCAGTCAACTTTTGGCACAATGTTTTAGTATCATAATTCTTGCTCCTTGGGGCCTGCTTGTCTTGGTTCCCAAGTAAGTGGTATATCTGTTCAGATCATATAACTATAGCTTGAAATCGCCGTTTGTCTTTTCCCAGCCTGTAGTCGAAGCCCCCAGGCCAGCGACCCTCTCTGTAAGCTTCAGCTTCAGGTTCTTATGCCTCTCGGTACACAGCTCGTACATAGTCGATAGGTTAAACAACAGCGTAGGAGACGATAAACCAGACTCCACAAGGCCCTCCAATACTGCGCGTCCCTAAGAAAGATTAGTACACGGTAATCGCACGTATCCCAGATGAACATACCTCTTGTATCCTCCCAAGATACAACAAACACACGGCTGTGTTAACGCCGACCATCTCGTCGTCCAGACTTTCTTTCAGTTCCTTCCACGCTTCCAGGGCTGTCTCGTACTCTGCATCAGCCATGTCACAGAGTGCCAGGATTAGCTTCTCGACGTTTTCGTCGTTTTCCATGGCTTGACGTGCGCAGGACCTTGCGCTTTCTACGTCGCCCAATTGCAGCCACAGCAGTGCTTTGGTAAGTGCCATCTTGCCATCACCTCGATCCCGTAGGGTGCTGAGGTGATGCGCTGCGCCTGTCAGGTCTTCGAGCTCAATCAGAGCTCCAGCAACCTGGATACCAAGATCGTAAAGACGAGCTTTCCAAAGCTCCCTTGCGGAGTTGTCGTGCTGGGCTGCTGCCTTGCTGATACGATCGCGAGCTTCGCGAGCCAGGTCGTGGTAACTCATGACGGCTCGGCGATAATCGCCGAAGCCAAGCGACTGAAGGCGTACATTGAGAACCCTTAGCTCCCAAGGTACTAGGTGCTCTCCAGTGGTTTCGTCTACGTACCTCCTGATGTCGTTGAGATCTTCCAAGGCTTTGACCTCCTGAGCAGCCAAGGGAGTCGCATCAATCAGGGTAAGACATGCCAGTCGGGTGTAGAGAAGCTCAAAAATCCTCTTGGAATCCGTAGGATTTATTCCCCCACTAGCTCCAGAGCCTGTGAGTTCTTGAACAGCAGCTATAGCCGCTGCTCTGAAGTGACCGCTAGCAAGGAGCTCCTCAATGGGAGCCTCGGGATCGGGCTGCTTCTGTGGATTACGAAAGGCGACAGGAACGTTGAGAGGCGTCAAAGGGTGATAGATCTCTGGCCTTAGAAGAAATGAAAAGTCTTTGGGTCTAGCCTCTCCCAGTTGCGAGACTGGAGTCGCTGTAGATGAGCGCGGATGTGGCGATGATATCCTATTGCGATGCGTAAGTACTCGCTGAGGGGTCGTCGCTTGTTGAGGCGACAATAACGGATCACTGTAAGTTAAGTGTCAATCTCGGGTCGTGATCTAAACGATAACATTTTACTCACTCATCAAGATCGAGAGGTCCTTTCGTAGAGGATCTCGGTCGGGCTGGGACAGAGTTAGCCGTGTCGCACCAGTATCACTCATGCTAACAATGCTCATTTGGAGACATGAGAAGCCCCGCTCATGCAGCATCAACGTCATCCACGAGAATCATTCTGAGGCATACTCTTGGTGATAGATTTGTTTCTGGAGTGTCCTTGACTCCCTGTTCTTTGCGGTTCACTCATGGCCTCGTATTTGATGAATTATCGATGTCCTTTGATGAAGGGAAGCCTGTGATCTCGCTGTATCATGGTGTGGTCGGATAATCACCGGGAAATACATTCCAACAACGACAATTCACGACTTCGCATTGTCAAGTCGTGAGAACTCAAATGCAAACAAATCGGAATTTGAAACGCGGAATAGTGAACAATTGCCAAGCCAATCTGAATTGTTCGATTGTAGAAAACCATCCATCGATGCTCTGCAACTTACCGAATTGCTAACAAACCTACCTACCTTACCTATCTACCATGTCTAGCTAGGGAAGAAAGAAGACTCAGGACTTGGATCGTGGACGACAAAAAGACTTGTGGAACTTAGCGGGTAATGAGTATCTTGCCCGTATGTGTTTATTGGTGTTCTTTACCTTTGTGCGCTGGAGGCTGAAGCCTCTTTAAACAACCCACAACCTTATTCCCATGGAACTTAGCATAAGTTAATAATATCTCTTACTGACCTCATTTCTGTACGCTATCTCAAGGTCTCATGCTATCTTGCTCTCTGCGGCGTATCCCTTCGCAACCTCCCAAGCTCTGATCATTTGCTCACGGCAGACCAACCAAGCAATCTATCCCACAATCCTGCTATCAAACGCGCTCTCAATAGCTATGCCGATATCGCAAAATACAAAGAACGGAATCTTCCAGAATCAGTGGTATTTGCGATTCTTACACCCCTTGACACGCGAAGTGAACCCAAGCTTGGCGCGGCGGAAACAGTACAAACAGAGACCCTTTGCTTTAACTTCGTTCGTGAGTTTGTGGACACGTTGTTCTTCGATCGCCACTGACAAAATTAGTTTTGGGTTAACATGAATGCCACAAGGCCCGCCCAAATAACTGATCATGTGTAGGGAGAAGGGAAGCTTGACAATTGGTGGATTTCTTACAGCAAAGTCGAAGCCCAAGCTCCTTGTCGGGCATGCCCGTGACGTAACCCAAGTGAGAAGGTTGAAGCTGCTTGACAAGTTTCTTGCTAAAAGTAAAGAAAGCATCGGGGTTTTGCATCCAGTAGGCGGCAGTTGTGAGTTGCCATGTCTCTTCGGGGTCATCCGCCCAAGCATACTTCGCAAACCAATACACCGAAGCGAAGGTAAATCGCGATACCAAATCGTATTTGTCAACAAGGATCGAAATCTTCTGGATATCTTCGGGGTCACAGTCTTGTGTCGAAGGGTTGGACCCGTAGAGCACGAGGATCGTGTAGTCCAAAGCGAGGGGATCGTCATCAGGGAGCTCGAGAACCATTTCAGGATCTCCAGGCTGTCGACTGCGCAATCTATCGCCCTCTTCGAAGTTCGGCCCGAACATGACTGCAAAGACTGGCGATATCTCGCACAGAAAGGCCGACGCAACTCTGAGGAGAGTTCTGTGGGGGCCAACGGCGAGGATTAAATCGCCGCCAGGGATCAAGTCTCGAACAAACCTGGGCTGAGCCACAGTCTCAATGGCCTCTTCTGGGCTTGACATTACTGACTGATCAGGGGTAAGATCCATCTGAGACCAAGCGTAGCGGGCACCTTGCAAATAAGAAGAAATAGCGGTGTTGGTGTTGCTTGGTGCAGCAAAAGGCTCAATTGGGCTCATGTCTTTGGAGTCTGGAAGAGGAGAAGGCTGCTTGCCAAAGTGGTAGGTCAATATCTAGCGGAACCAAAGACACGGTCTTATAATTGGGCGGACTCCCTGGATGGGAGTGATTCATGATCATCACCGACCTCATTGTCGTAGCATCACTTGCTTACATGCTCTGCGCTTCAGCCTCGACAAGGCAAGAACCGTGAAGATGTGCCAGAATTGGCATACGCATCTCGAGAAGCTTGGACATGCCAAAATTCAAATTCGAGTCCACAATCTTATTTCCCCAGATTTTGTGAGTCTATTCCGAAGCATAGCCCGCCTTCCGGAAGTCTCATACTCACGGAACTTTAGTGATAAGGAACCACGCGATCAACCCGTTGACTCTGATAGGCCTCTTTCGTTCTCCGTGACTATCTGCATATCGTGCCAACAAACAAGAGACATTTCCTTTGGCTTTTCGTCTTCATGATTCCCTGTCGGTGCTTTCTCATTGCGTAACTTCTGAGTGACGTACATGCACCAGGCCAGGGAGGCAAGAAAACGTAGGCCTCTATGCTAGATGACAGAAAGACCTGATTTCATTGAGTTCAATCCAGTACAGACCTTGGGGAGCTCACATTATGCACTTTTGACGCCCAGGTCCAATGTCACATGTTTTCTTGCTCCCTAGGGTCAGGTTGGGGATGTCCTCAGGGCTCACACAAAGACAGGGAAATACCGGCCTACCAATATGAGCAATTGGCAGTTCAAACAGGCAATTCTCCTTTCACTGTGTTGCAAGTCGTTATTGTGCAGCCTGTTGTCATTGCTCACTGCGTTGATCTGATTCGTTTTGTTGGCTATCTGGCTATGGATCATCACTCGTTGTAGGTCATTGTTCGAGGTGGCCATGGGGTCGGGCGCTTTGCGTTTCGTTGCTGCGCACAACTCTAGTTTGGGCCTCTATGATTTTGTCAAGTTTGCTCAGGAGTTGCGCTCTAAACTGTCGTTCTTCACTGCCATTCTAGGGTCCGGGATCCGCTACCACTGCTCTTGCCAAGGCTTCTCCCATACACAGAGGTCATCGTCGTCCTTCTTGTCTTTCTTGGTCGACTTTTTGCTCCTCAACTTTATTGATCGTAAAGTTCTGCGCAGACTTTTCTGATTCTGCCTGTCCATATGCTCTCAAGTTTTCTCCTGCCTCGTCCAATCTCTGGTTCTTCTTTCCTACACAATCATTGGTCTTCTTGAAGCGGTACTTTTTGTTACTTAGCACTTTATTTGGGTCATTTCATCTACTTACGCACTCTAGAGCGTTCCGTCTTTTCCTCTTTCATCCCCACGAGCCCTGTCGGTACCCAGTCGCATTCCCAAGTCACACACACGACTCCCGGTATCTCTAAACCACCACAATGCCGATCCCAAATCCCAATCCCGAATCCTCTACTACACGGCCAGAATCAAACCAGAGCATGCCAAGCCAAGAGGGTACAAGCCTGGTTGAGGGTAGAGAACCCCCTGTTTGCTCCTTTCATTTTACTGACCATGCTTTAGGAACTTCGGAACTCGAGCACGACATAATAAGCGACGGTGATCTTGTACTTATCGTCGGAGCGGACGAAAAGCGGATCAGAATTACGGTTCAGGCTGCCCGCGTGTGTTCACACATTCTTGGACAAATACTTGATCAACACAATATCACTGATGCTGACAATACGGGTCGGGTTCGTGAGCTTAGGCTTCCAAACGACAGTGCTACCGCGACTCGAAACGCATTTGGCAGCATCTATCCTGGCAATCCCCATACGGACGATCTGTTGCCAGCAGAGATCTACGATGTGGTCGTGTTTGCCAGGAAGTATAAGATGATTCCCGAATTCAAGAAGGTCGCTCTAAACTGGTTCCGCCCAATATTATGGGCCCACTGCTTTCATCTGCTTCGTGGTCTGGAAGAATGTTGGCATCTAATGATGGCAGCGCATTACATGCTTCTCGAGTATCCCAATACGCTCCCTGAAATCGGTTTTGCATTCTCCAAACTGAGCGAGCGACTGGTGAGGGCCAGGAACCAATATCACAACGCCCGCTTAGTAGAACCGGGGCCAGACGCTGACGATATTGAAGTCGATATCTACCGTAAGATACTCATCCCCCTTCATCATGCATAACTGACTTGAATTGAACCAGGCTCGATTCGTGAGGCCAGGCGGGAGTATGCAACGGCAATGGGTCAGCATCATCAATTTCGCTGTATGGGAGGCGCTGTACCATGCACCGGAACAAGATTCACATGGAGTTATGGAAGCTTCTGCTTGTGTCCGCACTTAGCATAAAGAACATGAACAATTATTTGCGTGTTTCGAGAGAGCTTTAAGTCGATGAGTACCAAAATTTCCACAGAATATACCAAGGGTTAGAGGAAGTTCAAAATGGACAGGGTCGGGTTATTTTTCTTCTTTCATTTTGACTTCAATAAGCAGAAAGTCTGGTCTTTCTTATTTTTAGACTATTTTTACCTCAGACAATACTAGGTATGTAAAACCCACAAGAGGAGAAGGTGGCCAAGTCTATGAAACAGATAGGCAAAGCTTCCTTTCAACATCGACGACAAGCTTTTTGTCCCAACCTAAGACTTATTTCCTTACGCTTACCCACCTGGCATATTGGCATTTACGACCCCCTGGTATCTTATTTTTCGCGACTGTCACTATAGCATTTTTGGCCTGTTCCTTGATTCAGTAGAGTATCATTCGCGGCGTATTACAAGAATTAACTGGTCTTTAGGTATTTTCACCTAAGAAATAATAAAATTATCTAAAACTATCTAAATTAAGAAGAAATTATTCTAAAATGGAGAAAGCTTTATATAAAATTATGTAAACTTATTTTCTTTAATCTCTTACAATTCTTGTTACAGTCGCTGGGTTACTTTTATTTTCTTCGCGGTAAACGATGTGAGGAGAGATTGAACACAGAGCTCGGCTTAAATAACCCGCATTCAATCAATCTGTTTACTGAGGTATACACTGTTCAAACCTCCTGATCTTCCTCTCGATCTTCCCAAAAACTAATGCATTCATCTCAGATTTCCCTTATTCCAGCTGATACGGTCGATAATGACGCTCAGGATAGCTACATCCTGCACACTGCTGGGTGTAAGAGCCGGTTGCATGAGAAAAGCAGAACAGACAGAGGCCCATCTCCTCCGCGATCCTAGTATACCTGGAGTCACGCTCTACTTTAAAATGGGTGTTGCGCAGTTCTTCAATAGCCACTAGATGAGTATTGTCAGCATCTGTGCCTATCGTGTAATTCGTGACTTACTTCCAAGGCGCAGGCCAGTATGCTTGTCATGAAAGCGGTTTATGAACTTGAGCAAGCTAGTGCTCTTCGGGCGTATTCCCTTCGTCACGGCGAAAAATGCCCAGTCGACCTTAAGGATGTATGCCACAACCAAGGTGTTCCAGTCATCTTCGGTAACTTCTGAATCTCTACTATCCGTCTTGGTGGCGTTGAGAAGCCAGAAAGATGCGAATACTTGGAGGCGCTCGACCATTCCGTACTTATCTGCAAGAATTGCAATCTCCTTGGCTTCACTTACCGAGAACTTCGTGGCGCTTGGGTCTGAGCTGTAAAGGGTCCGCAACACCTGGTCCATTGGTTGTTCCTTGTCTTCGGGGAGGATGATTTCAATGGGGTCTTCATGGTCGGGTTTATTTGCGAGAGCATTCCTTTCTTTCATCGGTGCATCAAGCATAGCTCGGAAAACGGGGGAGATGAGTTTCAGGAAGTGCGAAGAGACCTGAATCTTGTGCTGGCTCTGGCCAACCACCAGCATAACATCGCCATCGGGAGTGATTTGGGTGACAGAATCTGCTACGAAAAAAAGTAAATACCAAAGCTGTATGATAGAATACCACTTTCACATACACGAAACAACACCGTTATTGGCGTTGAGAAGGGGAGAGGAAGTGTTCATCTTCGTGGATGAGGGTGTTGAAGATGGGTGAAGAAACAAAGCACAGAGAGAGATGCCGCTGGTGAAAATATTCTGGTTTTCCAGCTCACTCGCTTACTAGCATACCTAAGAAGAAGTTGGTTCAGTGTGGAAGCACTTGACAGGTGCCAGCAGCTGGTAGTGAATCATTGCTTGGCCCCTGGAACCGACTCGCCCTTCGATCTTGGATATTTGCTGACATGATGTTGAATTGTAAGATATAATGGCAATCGCTTAGTCAAACAATCATAAATATGAATATGCTTTAGGCTCTGTTCTTTCCAATACCCGACATGAGCTACGACAAAGTTGGTATGGATCAGTATTCCGTTGCTTGCTCTCGAGCTTAGGCATCAAGTTGGCGCGAGGCCAACATCAAACAACTCCGTGCCTAGATTCTACAGGTTTGTTGAACAGTTCAATTGCCAATCAGTTTTGTACTGTGGCAAGAAACAAAAGTGCAATCGCAAAAGGCTGCACAAACAAGGAGGTTAACAAGACTAGCAAACTTGCAGCGGCCGTCCATAAATACAAGCCAGCGCCCTCGCTCAGCATTTTGGATTACCCCCTCTCCTTATTTACAGGCCACCAAGACATCATGAAAAGTTTCTCTTGCTTATACATTCTATTCAATTCTGACAAAATATGTTCTTCTTTGCCTTAAGCAAGAATGTCACGTCTCTGATACCCTACAACGGCACAGACAGTAAGAGACCTCGAGATGGCCTCGTCTTGGGATACAAACCTTTAGTGTACATGATACATTGGCCAACTGTATACCATAGTACTTTATGTTTCCAGTTGGCCGACGTAAAGCATTGGCAAATTCGGATCGGTGCTCGTCACATGTTCCGAGCCGTCGACATAAACTTCTTCCTCATTCTTCACAACACCAAGACGAGTGGTATAAGTCCTGCCTCCACGTAGCCTACGAAGCTGATCTCTTTCAGGTATTAGACTCGTACCAAGCGCGGTGCTTGTCCTCATTGTTGATGACGCTCGCATCAGGGTTCATAATAACCCAAAAACTTTTCTGTGCGACATCTGAGACGTCGGCCACCAACTTCGCAGAAGTCACACGATAACGCTCTCTTTCAAGCCTCACCGTTGTCCCAAACAGGGCACTCAATCTCGTCTCTAGATGAGAATCTACGAATTACAGCTTCTTATCCCCTATTATTCGTAACCTAATGGACAGCATGGTCTCCACAGAACTCCCCAAGAGTGTCCTCAAAGCCTCGGATGAAGCTGCTGTTGCACCGAAGGCAGAGAGCAACAGAGCAACAGCTTTAATCAAGTCTTTGTATAACAAGGCTTGAAGTTGGCTCGGCCGTCAAGAACATTCAGACTTGTCTAGTGCCGCTAGGTCATTTCATATGCTGTTTCCCACTACTACTCTGCCATCATCCCTTACGGCGGTTGTCGCAATCATGTGCACTATCGTTTATATCTACATTTACTGTCCCCTTTATTATACGCCATATTCGGACATTTTACAGTCACCGGCAGCTAAGGCTCGGCGGTTGTTCATGAAAATGGAACAGCAACTCATACATTATTGACTTGGTCACCTTCTGAGTCCTATAAAGCTTTGAGAGACCTCAACCCCAAACCAGCTCTTGGAAACACAGCACCTCATTACAATCTCCTTATATAAACTATAGCTATGAACGCCAACCATGTTTCTGCTCGGGATGCGGAAATAATCCATTCTCGTCTTCGCCTCTTTTCTTCCTCAAGTCTATTGTTCTTCAGTCAATAATCTGTTCACCTGAACTCAACAACCACAACGCAACAACTCTCTACCGCCTATACAAGCACATGCCCTATATATATCGCAACCATGGGTAGAAGCTCAAACAAAGGCATGTCGTCAGACTCAGGTATGTGGCTTTATCATCTGTTATTCCAGGCCTGCTCTAACACCTTTAGTAGAAACTAAAGTACCTGATGAAACAGTCATTCCCAACGGCGATAGAATTCTTATCGTCAGCAAAGGCCAGCTACGGATTCAGGTCTCTCCGGAGTTACTGATCCAGGCATCCCCGGTTTTCGACGCGATGCTGAACCTGAAATTCTTGGAATGCAACAAACTTCACGAGGGTAATGAGTTCCCTGTCGAGATCAAACTGCCAGAAGACGAGGGGATGGCGACCACCCAAGCGTTACGAACTCTCTATGGGTCGGACCCAAGTATGCTACTCCTCGACCCCGATGAGATCCAGAAAGTCGCCATTTTCGTGGATAAATACGACATTTCGCCTCGTTTTTCCATGGCTGCCACTAGCTGGATGAACTGCGAGCCATCCAACCTCGATCAAGCTTGGAAGCTGATGACGGCCTCATATTGGTTCAACCTCGAAGATTCGTTTCAAACCATGAGCGAACACGTCGTGGTAAAGATGAACCACGCACAAATCTTTCGTCTGGCTCACCAGACTCACGACGTCGGCCTAGGCCTGAAGCTAGGCAGTGAGTTCTTACCCATATACATCTCTCATCTTGTTGAGATTTGATGTTGATTTTTGAGAACAGTGGCCCTCCTTCTGTTGCACCATGCACTCTCACAGTACATGGCGCGTCCAAAGGGAGGTCTATGCCTACGCTGCTTCAAAATCACGGCAGACGACCCCGTGGGCATGCAGCCAGGTTGCCCCAATCCATCCAACCACCGGTCTGGTTGATTGTGTCAATCTACGCACTGGCGGGTAGACGGGAGTGTGGCTATGTCAGATACATCAACGGAGAGAAAAGATTGGCCTGCATAAATGCAGTATAAAAGCGTGCCATGGTTCAATTCTAATATTAGGTCTTTGACATGAGTGGCGGAACAAGCATCCTAGTTGATTGTATGCTTTCCGGTCTGTAACTTCTCTGGCCATGTTGCCAGACGCCTGTAATTAAAAGTCTTATTTTACAATACAGATGGGATTTATGTTGTCCTCTAACGTCTGAAACCCGCTTGTCTTTGTATTGATGGCATTAATCCCAATGATTAAATATATACCATATTCCGTGGGCCGTGTGACCTGTCTTGCATGTTCAAGCTCCTGACATCAAATTCTCCCTTTCTGGCTTCATCCGAGGAGACATTAACACCCCAATACTTCAGACGGCTAATAGGTCTCCTCATTCAGTATCACTGTGTGTTGTCTCTGCCAATAGTACTCAAGTTGGTGGGTTGGCATGACAGAATGAGTGGCTCGGCGTATGAGAGCTGCCACTGTTGATATTATTCACTTGGTTCACAATAAGGCTGACACTCTCACGTGCCGAGAAACAGAATCCAGTCTGGAAAGTGGTATTGGCATTCATTGGTTGTACGTACAAATTTAACTCGTAGTATTCTCTACATTTTCTAAAGAGGTGAAACCGGCTTACAAGGCGACCATCACATAGAAATCCGTGTCTAGGAGACGTTGAACTTTCAGGCCGAGTCACTGTTCTACAATACAGCAAATTATCACTTAACTAAAGTCTTCTTTACATCTATATTTCCTCTTTTTCAGCATTCCCGAAATCTTGTTCAATTATTCAATCCTCATATCGTCGAAATCGCAACTCAGCAAGCTTTCTCTCCAATTTCAGTCAAAGAGCCTTTGTACCCTGAGCGACTCTACCCAATCTAACTATCCTAGCTATCTTTCGCAATTGATCTTCAATAATCAAGATCCATTCTCTTGGGAGTTCTTTTCTTTGAGAAAAAATCTCTCCTTCCACCTTGGCATCTCATTTGACAGTGACGAAGTAGTCACGTTCACCGAGGTAAACCAGGGAACCGATCAATAGATAACGAATGCCGGCCAACCTTTCAAGGATGTGTCTCGTCAGCCGAGGCCATCGTTAGTATGTATCACTATCCACAGAATATGGCGGACAAGAGAATGCTGGGGCTGCATTCATGCTTGGCCACCCTCTCTCACATGAGAGAACAGAACGCACGCAACATGAGCCCAAAATCCTCAGATGAGTAGTGGAATCTTAGTACGATGGATCTTGCATGATGCTGACCTGCGGAGCCAGCCTGTTTGAATGAAAAATTGGCTGATCTGAAAAAATTCCCTTTCCTTTCCTTTCTAAAACGGTAGGCGGCCACCAGTAGGTCCCACGCGGCATGGTGATCTGGCTGTGTTGTTGTCGCCGCTGGGCAACCTAACCAGATGGCCGCCACCGGACGGAACCTCGCCACCACGTCGTACTTGTCTGCCAGGACAGACACGTCTCGGATGTCCCGAGGCTCTGCGGTGAGACACTCGGGGTCTGACCCATAGAGCGCCCGGAGCGCAAGGATCATTGCGCCGGGCTGCTCCGCCGGAAGCTCGATGGCGACCGGTTCCGTCCCATCGAAGGAACGGACCGCCTCACCCTCGAGCATCGGCAGGGTCAGCATCCTTTCGAAGACGGGTGAGATATGCTTCAGAAATGAAGCAGTGATCCCAACCGCTGTCCTGGACTTTCCTTGTATAAGGACGACATCCCCGTCAGGGATGATGGTGATGCGTTCTTCTCATAAATCGATTAGTCTTCTTCCTTCGGCATGGCCTCTTACTCACATACCCATTTCCTGGGAGTTCTCCATTGTTATAAAGTGAGCTTTAGGTATTTATGTAATCGTGGGGAAAAGAAATTGAAGGCTTCGGGCCAAAAGTCTGTCCGGACCGGTCTGGAAACTGTCCAGGCTCCTCCAACGTCTATATAGGAGGGTGTCTTTGGCGCTTCGTATGTCTTATAAGTTGTTCACTAGAATTACCGACCGGTCGTCATTGACTCTGATCCCGAGTCTCTGTGTCTGGTATCTTCCAGTATAATATGAGGTATATATCGTCTGCGCGTGTGCGTCGCGGGACCTCTTGCAGCGCTTTGTCTTCAAGTTTGTGTTCCGGATCGGTTGTGGTCCTCTCCTAAACAACTTCCACAGATCTTCTCTTTTAGTAACTGCTCGGTCCTTCATCATGGGCGTGAAGTATTGTTGCTGTGTTTTTATATTCTTTGATGCCAGGTTACGTGTCGGGACAGTTGCGATCACCTCAGATTAACCACACGAGAATGGGGAGTGGAGAGGGTTGTTACGTCCTTGACCATGTCCTGAAAACATGAATGCTATTTATCCTTTCAAGTCTTAGAATAATTCCGGCCAATTGACTGAAGGGGGGTCGTTCGCTTATGTAGTTTGTGTTTAACGGTAAAGACCTTTTTCTCAGTCGTGGCAGAGAAGTATACGTCTGACGTTTCGTGGTCGGCACCGGATATTTGGGATTTTCCCATCACATCAAACAACGTATGTCGACTCGTAGCGTATATATCACGCAAACCAGTATGCTTGGAGTGACATCTACCGTTTGCAGCTTCATCTTGAAGTGTTTGCCAGCAGAGTTTTAGGGGAGAATAATGTCTTTGTAAGCTCACGATCGTCTTATAGTTCGACGGTTTTGTATTTCACTCCAACAATTCGCTTAGGTTTCTCGTTTTTTTTCCATTGATAACATTCGTCAAAGGCTAATTGCTCGCTATCGATCATCACAGCACCAGGTGCCGACGTGTCCGCCGACACCCAGGCTGCTGGGCAACAAAGTTCTTAGTGGCAGCAACGAAACAATCTAGGCAGAGTCCGATTGTTTCGTTACGGTACGCGTTTGCTAGTCTGAGTTCTTCAATTGCCACTATCAACTTGTATTAGTGCTTAATAATGGACATGTCTAAATGGAGACTTACAAGCCAGACGAAGGCCAAGGGGTTCATCTCCGAGTTCCAGGGCAAACTCCAGCAACGGGATGTCGGTACGAACAAAAAACTGGCTCATGATGAAGAAACCTTCGCCATGGTCAAACCAGTACGACGCGACAAGTAGGTCGAAGCCTGCTTGAAGACTGGGTTTGTCGACTGAGCCTGGTGCTGTTTCCAGCCACAGGGAGCAGATAGGTTTGAAGCGCTGTACCATGTCTGCTTTATCTGCGAAGATAGATACATCCCGGATGGTTCGAGGGGGCAGCTTGAAGGATCCAGGGTCTGACCCGTACAAGATCTTCAGTGCATGGTAGGTAGCTTCGGGGTTGTCGTCTATCAACTCAATGCGAGCTTGCTGTCCGTCAACTCGGTTCGTGAGTGAGTTGCCTTCTTTCATTCCGCCAGAAAACATCTTCTCAAACATCACAGAGACGTGGCTCAGGAAGCTTGCAGAGACGAGAATTTGAACCTTTCTGGCCCCGACGACGAGCATGACATCGCCACCAGGAACCACTGTCCATGGTCCTAGGTCTTCTGCAAAAGGTCAGTACTCGAACTACCTCTTACTTTTCGTGCTTTCCACTGACCGACTTCTTCCGCCTCCTGGGCGGCAACTTGGTTGGCAACTGTTTCCATTGTTAACAACGAGAAGATGAGAAGATGAAAAGAAAATTAGGAAGATGAAATTAATGTTTTGCCATAAGGTACCAAGTGGTAGGCCCTTGATTCGTCGTTCTATCTGCCAGCTAGTGCCAGCTGCCAGAACTTTTAGCCATATAATATTTACTTGGAGTATCTTCTTGTCTATTGTTAAAATCTGCTGGATTTTAAGGGGAATATGCTGGTATTTATACCTTTTGAGACGGTGTGGTCAAGCATTGTTGCTTCTACTTCGTTGCGATTGCTGTCATTTGAGGCATCTGTGAGTTTCAGGATTGTCCATCATGACTTGAGACAATTATTCTTACCCAGCACCACTTATCATGGTCACTAATTCTTTTCAAAGCGATTTGTCAAATACTTACGCATCTTTTATCACAGTTGTTGTTTTTGTGGCTAGATGGGCTCAATCATTCTGCGAGAGTGTCTGCATCTTCGCTTTCTCGAACTGTGTTGGTGTATGTCTAATGATCTTGTACTGAGCAATTGAACGAGGCGAACTCACCAGCAATCCAGTGTTCTAATCGGTTTTCCTAAGATTGTCTTTTTGAGATTACGTGGGCTTTCAGATTCACCTGTTTGAGCAGTCAATTTTTGCTTTTCTCCTTTGATTGAGCCTTCAAAGATTGCCCAATTTCTTTCTTACATGATTGCCAATAAGCCAGGCCCGTTTGACTATGCACATGGGGAATATGGCAGGTTCAATGTTGTTGGATAACTAGATTTTGACCGCAATGGCCAATTCTCGTTACCGAGACCTAAGTTATTGAGTAACAGGTAGATTGCAGGTAATTTGTTTCGTCTTATTTGTGAGACACCGCTGCTTTGGACATAAACCGGTGTAAATCACAGGAACAACACAGCTCATTTGTGATATTCACCGAGATAAATGGTTGGAATCGAAGAAACTTGAGTAAACATTCCGCTAGCCATGTCACATCATCAAGCTTCGTCTTTATCGATGCTATCTTCGTTGACTAGCTCAGTATCCCAAGGGCCAAGATGTCATCAGGCATCCTATCGTATGGCGAAGCCGGCAGATCACCATTTGCCCGTCACTATCCCGCTTCCAAGCATGCTGATTTCTTCAAGCTCCAACTGGTGACGTGGGTGTGTCTAGTCGAAGCCGTTTCCTCGCTGGTTCTCCGGTGGTCATAATGACAAGAGGTTTGTAAGCTTAGGGCAGGATTCGATGACTGGGATGAATTTACCGAGTTCTAGATAATTCGAGAATAGGGACTTTGATCGTTTTGATAGGTAGCCATCACTTAGAATGGAGTACTAGAGTCTACTTCTTGTGCGCAGGACATGTGTTGTCCCCTTCGAAACAACCAAGACACAAGCCTGAAAGCCGCGGCCTCTTATCCCTGATTGTCTTCCGAAGTTCATGTTGGGACTCAGCACATGTCTCACATTCGACTTCATGTTCGGTTCGATAGTAACTCAGCCAGTTATCCAGCTTTGATAATGCCTGATCAACGCGGCTAAGAGGCGCCTCAGGGTCCAGGAAGCATGGATGCCCATTTTCGGGCATGAGTTCGACCAAATGGTCGAAGTAGAGTGTTCGTATGGTAGCGGTAGGACAGTAGTTCGAATATATCAGAGACGGGATCTCATTGTACACCAACTTGGCCACCTTGCGCTGTAGCTCAATTTGTGATGCCTGAAGGTTTGCTTTTTAGCGAGGGTCAGCTTGAACTCAAGAGTTAGGACTTAATCCATGTGATCTCACCTGCAAGCCTGTACAAAGAACGCCCTGGCATATTGCTCTCAGACCGCTTTTCAGTTTCCGAGGCTCTGGCCAAGAACGATCCTCCGTCTGAGAGAAGTTTCCTGGTGGCAGTTGTGTAGGAGGCTGAGTCTTGATTTTGGAAGCATATCAAGGCCATAAGCCAGATATCTTTTGAGTGACAAGTCTTGGAAAGTATGTCTTGTGTCCAGAACATGACAGAAAGATGCATGCTCTGCTTCATGTCGTACTTGTCGATGATGGACCAGACTTTTACAATCTCAGCGCATGTAGGGCTCCAGAGCGTCGTTTCAGATTGACAGTGAAGAGCTCTACATATCCACTCAAAGCAAAGGGAACTTTCTTCTTCAGGTAGTGCGATCTCGAAGTGGTCGGTTTCGGTATTGGCGGCAGCCAGAGCTTGGCCCTCCATGAAGTTTGGGCCAAGCATCGTGGCAAACACACGTGAAGCGTCTTTCATCACCGTAGAATGAACTCGCACGCGCCTATCATTGTTGACGATGAAAACAACATCTCCATGTGGCACGAATCTTTGGAAATCAGGGGCGGTAGGGTTTTCTTTCTCTTTGTCAACTTTCTGACGCTTGTCGCGAGGAGTGGACATGGTGAATATCAGAGAAGGCTCCCTGTTCGATGGTAGGAGGTTGAGGAGGTAAAGATTGGACAGAGGATCGAAGAGAGTAGAGGAGATGAATGTGCCTGTTGGGGATATGCCGGCAGCCGCTGTGAAATGACGGTCCAACGAGGCCGGCAAGATGAGCTGTTCGACAGTGGCTGCGCAGTGCAAGCTACTAGCGTTGCATTGGAGTTGGTGAGAAAGAAAAGCACCCTGGGCACAATAGAGAATACAGTGTTTCCAAGCTAAACAAAATGCAAATTAATAACATTTCAGGCAGTCTAGTAAATGCGACAAACTCTTGTTCATTTTGTGACTCCCTGCCTTCGCAACCTCATACCTACCTGCGTAGGTAGGTATTCTTCGGTCAGCTTCAGAGAGCAAGAAAACATGAGACTTTGAAGAGGATGCCAAATTAAAGTCAGTAAAGACTCCCCTAAGCTTAGAAAACTAGATTGTCTAAGCCTTTTCATCCAAACGTCCCAAGTTTTCTTGCGTCCCTCTGGTCAGGTATGTCCGGACTGAATGAAGTCAGTGGTAAATCTAGTGTTATCAGAGCTGCACACCTCAGGGTAGCCTCCCCACTAAAATTTGTCTCAGTAGGTACACATGCAGCTCAGCTCGCTTCCATCCATATCAATCACAACTCATCATGAGAACTCGGAGGTCCAATCGCACGAAGCGATACACGGTAGAAAAGTACGACTTCGAAGGTAGTTCCGACGAAGAAGCTCTCGATCGCGCTTCCAAGCACGCAGAACGAGATGAAAACTTTGATGAGGCTGCCGCTGCAGAAGAAAGTGCCGAAGAGCTCGCCCTCGGCCAAGACCACGACGAAAATGATGCGGAATCCGACGGTCCTGTGAGCGAACCAGATGGCGTTCTGGACAGATTTGCGCGCCAACGTGTCAAGCCCATCAGGCCCTTCAACGTTCGCGCAGCGGGCTTCACGGGATACCTCGATCTTGAGCCTGTGGCGGATGGACGCATTGTGAGATCGTACTGGGGGCCCTACGACCGCGGTTTTAAAGGCAAGCAACTCGTTGAGGCATGGTACGGACGTCATGAGGATGGTGTCAAGTTGGTTACGGGTATGCTGGATCGTTGGATGGACTGGACAGTGCTTCCTCCGAAACTTCAGGATGATGAGGGACAGAAAGATCGAGGTGTTTGGTCCCCTAGCTACTTCGAAAGGGAAGCTTACAGCGCCGAGCATTGGTATGAGCGCGTCAGGGAGAGTTTGCCGGAAGCGAACGCGATGGTACTACTGTCGACCGAGGAAGTTCCACGATACCAGTTTAAGAGAGAGCCAATGCCAGTATTATTGGGGCCGCCCACATCTCAACAAGAGGTCAAATTCGAGCCTGGTGACGCATACTCTATATCTCAAAATGGCCTCCCAATGCAAAACGACGACGCGCCCTTTGGGTGGATTTTTGATGCCGGCGGTATCGTCACTGGTATGGACTGGGCACCTCTGAACAACGCCAACTCGCCGCAACTTCTAGCCCTCTGCGTTATTCCACATTCCGATCAGGAACTCTACGATTACGAACAGGAATCTTTGAATCCAGAGTTCCAAAAGTACGGTACTGTGCAACTATGGGAGTTCGTCGGAGAGAGGCAAGAGAATGGCTTTGCTCGGCCTTCGATGCAACCTCCAATACTGCGCAAGACCATATGTCTCGAATTTGGGCGGGCTCGAAGAGTGAAATGGAGTCCTGCCTGCGGCTTCTTGGCCATTCTTTGCGATGATGGGAACGTGTACGTGGTGGAGGCTGGTGACGGCGGAGGAGGAAGTTATGGCGAGTTCAATATCTTACTGGTACCAGTCCGATAGCTAACAGTGTTCAGAAAAGGTTGTGCAGCCAATAGCTGTATTTGGCTTCCCAGATGAAGACGCCAAAGCGACAGCTCTTACATGGATCAACTTCAACCGGCTGGTAGTAGGATACACTGACGGGTCTATTGCTATTTGGTCCCTCCGTCCCCATCGCCTCCTATCCCGACATCCTGTCCACCACAACATCGTGGTAGATCTCGTCTCTGGCTATCCAGCAATGCCCTATCTCGTTGCCTCAACCCCGGTCGGCGGAACTGTCAAGCTGCTTGACCTTCGTGCGCCAAGTTACGAATCAACCGAAGTCCAGAACCTTACCGTCGGAACACAGCCAAATCTGCTTGGATACAGCGACCACCTGCTTGGCTTCTACTCCATGTATCCATCTGCCGGTGTGCTGAATACCCACATCGGCTTCATGCACCATTCGCAATTCCCTGTTGCGCGTCGCGTCTTTACGGGGGAAAGCTTCCCTTCCTGTCTGGCAGTCGGTCGAACCCATCCATATCTCCTCGTCGGTTCTCTAGACGGCTCGCTGTGGGCTATCAATCCCCAGGTTGAGCTCTTCACCACAAGGCGTGAACCCACGGACCGTATCAGAGTCTTCCATCACGAACATCGTCCCGCAAAGCTTTTCCCAGCTGAGTCACCGGCGGCGGCACGAGGAGTGTCAAGAATAGCGACAGGCTTCATATTGGAGCGCAGCCTAACTAAGCATTCAGCCCATAAACCACCGGTCAAGAAAGGGAAGAAGCCAAAGAAGAAGGATACCGACACAGCTGTCGGGGACGACGAAGAAGAAGGGGGCGCAATCATGGATCCGACCCGAGCCATCATCTACGAGCCACTTACGAGGATCACGGTGGCCGAATGGAATCCTAACGAAGAGTATGGATGTTGGGCTGCCGTGGCGATGGGCTCAGGTCTGGTGAGGATCACAGATCTCGGCTTGTCGATAACAGAGGAGGAAGAAAATTAGTCCATGAGACACTGAGAACCCATAATGGTGTGGTGGTAGTCGAAAGCCTTGGCCATGCCGTAAAAGTGTGTAACGGCTGCAAGGATGACGAAAATGTGGAAGATCTGATGCGAGCTTCCCCAGATATCGAAAGCGCCAGGTGCGCTTCTCTCGGGCCAACGAGCCTATCAAGTCAGATTTAGATGCTTTATGTGAAAAGTTGGGGAGGACATACCGCATAGAGCACAGCGCCAAAGATGTACATGACGCCGTGGAGGAGAACCCAGCTGAGACTCATGCGATCTTCAAGGCCTTGGTAACCATAGATGAAGAGGCCATGGATGACAGGAACAACTCCAGAGAGACCAAGGCCGATGAACATCATTGCACGATACGGACGCCATGCTGGGGTCCGGAAGCGCTCGACCCATGAGACGATTGTGCATCCAAGGCCGAGTATACATATCTACTTTGTCAGCGAGTTTCTCTGCCATCAACAAACAACATCATAGACTTACAACCCATAGATAGGAGGCCATCAGATTAGGCAGACAGAAGAAGCCGTAATACAGAGCTGGAACATAGCTACCAACGATCAAAGCCACGATTCCCGTGTAGTCCAACTTGTTCCCCCACTTCGAAACAGTATCGCTGTGATTCGACAAAGTGTGGTACGTGGCACTCATTCCCAGACACACAACAGCGCCTCCAAAGAAGCATGCAAAGACGAATACGTCAGCGCTACTTGCGCTTTCGTACCGTGGACGGACAACTCGATCAACGTATGCTGCACTAGCGAGAAAGACTATGGCACCGAGGAGGTGAGACCAGATGTTGACGGACTCATTGTGGAGGTAGAAGAGGGAGCGGAACGAATGGGCATAAGAGCCATGAGATTGACGATAGCCCGAGAGGATGAAGGCATTGTCGCGACGCCAGGCTGGGAGATCATCCCAGAGAATGAGGAGAGATTGCTCAACCTTTGATTCGAAGTTCTTAGCAGCATCGATGAAGTTGTCTGTAGCTGAAGGCCGGCGATTGCGAACGCCGTAGGGCTGAGTTTCGGCCATGATGAAATGAGGCTATCCAGACTTGGAACAAATGCAGCTAGAGTCAGAAACTTTGCATGAAATCATTAACCGGCAATTAGCTTCTGCCCTTGCGTTCTAGTCCTCGACTTATATATGAACCAAGTTCCACTTGTCCGGTCGTTTATTGTTGTGTTGTTGGACCAGGGTAGTTTTGTTGGGACAAGCACATGAAAAGACACGCAACGTGCTCCGAGGCTAAAGACAAATCGACGATGTACGGTTAATGAAAGAAGGCCCCTAGAAGCGTCGTAGAAGGCCCACTCGGAATTGGACGAAGACCCTGTTTTCTGGCAAAAGAAGTTATGATGGACTTGAAAATGGAGATGAAAGTATTTGGCGAGAGATCTGCTGTTCTGTTCGCTGGAGAAATCCACAAGCGAGGTGCACTAATACAGTGGAGGTTTTACCATCATAACATCGACGTCTAGCAACTCTACGATCATGACTACTCTCAAATCGAATTGCACAGAAATATCGAGGCACTGCAGTCAGCATTTGGGTCAGCATAGAATTCATTTATCGTTAGCCATCGCGCGAAAATATCGTGATCAGTGACCGCCAATGTCTAAAACGCCTAAAACACGCAGGCTACCTGTCTGATGCGCTCACGCCATCCAAAGCCGCCAGGGATATCTCGATTCTTCACTCAATCGTCGCTGGAACCAGGCGAAACGTCTATTTCTTTCCGCTCTTCTTGATGCCCTGGCCACCGGTGTTGAGAGGGCCCTTGCCTCCAGCCTTAGCGGCAAGCTCCTTGCGAGCCTTCTCGTCTGTACCCTCGTCGTTAGTCTGATGTTTCTTTGTGTTTTTCGCTTTTAGAGGTTCGTACCGGCGCGCTTCTTCTCAAGGAAAGCCTTGTCATCCTCGTCGAGGTCCTTCTGGGCCTTCTTGGCCTGCTTCAAGGGCTTGACCTTGCCGCCTGTAGTTTGGAGGGGTTAGTTTTTCTGCTTCTGCAGGAATTCAGTCTGAGAGTTTTAACAAACCTTCTCGGTTAGCGCCACCCATTTTGATTTGTGTAAAGTGAAAGAGAGTCTTAAGTTGTGTTAGAAAGGAGGCAAAGCTGCGGTTGAAGAAACAAAGATTGTCGCGAGAGGGAAAAGTTGCCTCCCGCTTATTGACTTTTGTCCAGGCCCTCTCGCGCTGAGCACAGCCCAGCCCACTCACTGCCAGCGGTGAGCCCACTTTCGACCGCGGGGATAAGCTCGATAAGATGGATAAGGGTCTTTCGGGGCTTAGCTAATCCAGAAAATGGGCCTGGTAGCCTCATCAGTTGTTACGCTGTTACCTGACGTCAAAAAGTCTAGAGATACTCGGTTCAGATAATAACTTTCATCTCGCATCACTACACTTGTTTAAGTTTCGCCGCACCTGCACTCGCCTCAGAGTTTCCAATTCGCTTAACTACCTTTATTTTTCATCTGGACTGCACTCCAGACTTCCTTCATCCGCTACATTACCTCCCCTATCGGCTCTGAGCCTCTACGAGTCACTACTGATCCGGTTGGGCTCTTCTCCCATTGCACTCTGCTCTCTCAAGTCCCCAGCGCTGACACTGTTTCTGCTTCCCTCCATTTCAAGGCCTTGAGGATCTAAATAGCACCGTCACCATCATGGTGTCAAGCTCGGACGAAGGCGAGATCGTCGAGAATTGCGCTAAAGATTTGAAGGCAACTTCACTGCAGCATACTGGAGGAAGCAGTGTTGACCGTCAAGACAGAAACAAAAGTAGACTTTCGACTCCGGATCACGATTCGGCTTCTAGATACAGCAACGGGTCACGACGAAGCATTTCACCCCGTGGCTACAAGCGATCGCACGACGAAAGAGACAGGGATAGGGATCACTACAACTCCAGGCCTCGCGATCAAGGCTATCGCCGGAACTATGAGGATTCACGACGTGACGACCATCGCAAGCCGCGAGGACAATACGATGACCTAGATCGACCTGCATCGCGCCCATCAAATTTCAGCTACGGGGGCCGCGATCGGAGCCGCGACCGAGACAACTACCGCGATGGAGACCGAGATCGGTATGCCAACAAACGACCTCGAAACAGGAGTCGCTCTCCTCAAAGATCTCGACCTTCGGATAGGGGCCGGTTTGATCGTTTTGTCAGAGAAGGCCAATACGATCGTCGCGACGATGGGCCGAGGGAACTTAAGTATGACGACAGCTCGAGAAATGGGGGTTCTATGTCCAAGAGGACGACTGTAGGAGAGGCTTCACGCGCCCAAGGACATCATGCTAAACCTGAACAAGGCCTTACAAATGGACATGGCACTTCCAAGGCTTCTCAGCAGTATGTTGATCTACAATCCTTGGTTGAACGCAGCACTGATATGTTTATAGGGAGCCAGCTGCTCATAAGGAACCTGAACGAAAACCGGAACCTGAGCCAGAGCCCGACTACGAAGAGCCTGAGCCTTTTGACGAAGAAGCTGAAATCGAGCGACGCCGCAAGCGACGAGAGGAGATCCTGGCTAAGCACAGTTCTGCAACTCCTCTCCTTCTCCATGCTGTAGGTGCTGCTGCAAGTAAAGCTCACGGAGCTTCTCCTGCGTCCACCACGCCCGACACGCCCATGAGAGCACAGTCCGACATTGAAAGCCCTCGTACTCCCCGATCAGGTATGTCAACAGCATCTGGTGGAAGGATCCTATTGACCAGGGGTGCAGATATCGCATCACCGCGCTCTCCCGGATCACATACCGAAATGTCTCCTGGGGGCATCAACTTCCTCGATGACAGAAACCTGATGAACAGCCACGGCAAGGCTCAGCCAGACGAGGAGGATGGCCCCTCGGCCGCTGACTACGATCCTACTGGGGACATGAAGGAGGATGAACGACGACATGAGCTCCGGCACGGGAACGTCGTACTTCATGGTGAGCAGCATCCCATTGAAACGGAACAACAGCCACAGGAAGATGTTCAGAAAGAGTCTACCGAAAAGACCGGCGGTGATGATGACGATGATGACTTCGATATGTTTGCGGAAGACTTTGACGAGGAAAAGTATGCTACAAAGCCTGTCGAGCCGGTCGCGCCTATCGAGGGTGACGGCAAGGCCCCTGATGTGCCAGCTATCAAGGGAGGTATTCTCGAAGGTGACGACAAAGATGGCTATTACAAGATTCGCATCGGTGAAGTCTTGAATGGTCGGTATCAGATCCAGGCAGCACTGGGAAGGGGTATGTTCTCAGGGGTAGCCCGTGCCGTCGATATCACCACGAAGGAGCTCGTGGCTATCAAGATGATGCGAAACAACGATGCCCTCCGAAAGGGAGGATACACAGAGATTGCTATTCTGGAGAAGCTCAACGAGGCCGACCCCGAGGGTCGCAAGCATATCATCAAGTTTATCCGCCAGTTCGATTACAAGGGCCATCTGTGCATGGTGTTCGAGAACCTGAGCATGAACTTGCGAGAGGTTTTGCGAAAGTTTGGTAACAATGTGGGTATCAATCTTGGAGCGACGCGAGCATACGCATACCAGATTTTTGTCGCTCTCGCGCACATGCGAAAGTGCAGTATCATTCATGCTGATCTCAAACCGGACAACATCTTGGTATGCAACCCCACGATGCTAACATTAGGACACGCGAGTGCTAACTTGAGTAGGTAAACGAGAGTCACAATGTGCTCAAGATCTGTGATTTGGGTACGGCTATCGACAAGACGGATGCGGCGACAGCGCACATGGATGTCACTCCATACCTCGTCAGTCGATTCTACCGAGCGCCGGAGATTATTTTGGGCATTCCTTACGATTACGCCGTCGACATGTGGTCCATCGGCTGCACGTTGTATGAGATGTACACCGGCAAAATCCTCTTTGCTGGAGACAGCAACAACCAGATGCTCAAGGCAATTATGGAGA